TGACGCGTGTCCGTACTGCGCTGAATTGTTCCGCGTTACATTATGTGACATACAGGGAGGCTTTTCTAAGTATATTCATTTTTTTTAATTAAATTCTAGACATGTTATATAAAAAAAATATAAATATTTTAAATCATTCGTAATTAATTAATTACATTCATTTGAACTTATCTCAAAAAGTGCGTGATATATACGCAACTCATTTATTTTACGCGCGATCATTCATAACCAACACGCACACAAGTTCGTTTGCTTGCGTGAACAGCAAAATTTAGGTATTTATGAATGACTACCGCGTTGTCAACAAGTTCTGTTTTTTAGAGAATTTTTTGAAAAAACTAAAACTTTGTAATAATTTTTTTGATTATACAACCGAGTCTGAACCTCCTGTGTAAATTTGGGCACCCTGTGTACAAATGAACGTGACAGATGATATAGAACGTATGTGGAAAGAAAAAGCAGTCTATAGAATAGCAATCTACACCAATTGGCGTAGATTGAGTGCCTCAGTTTCGCTGCGCTTGTGTCATATCTACCTCGTATTTGTATATAATCTCATTTAATTTAAAATGAGCTGTCATTTAATTGGCAAAAATTAAAGTGCACGATTACAACAATTATTATGATGAGGAATCACAGAGTATGAGTGAGGGTTTAACATCAGAAAATTAATCTCGTCTTATTAGAACAGGCTGCAAATTAAATTGTTTCGACAAGATCTTCACGAAACAATCTTGAAGACTACTGACATTCCGTGGAAAGTGTCTCAATGTGACTCAATGTTGGTTGGTGGTAAAGCATTATATATAATTACTCGTAATAAAACTGATAAGTAAAGAAATAATTATTAGTTTTACTTTTTAATTTCAAAAGTCTTTTTAACAAAATAACTAATTAAACTTCCGATGCTCTTCATTTCTAAACATTTTTATAACTAAATAATTTTAATACATTCTTTGGCATTACTAACGTTATAGAAATTTATTGTAATGCCTGGATGAATAATGCAATAACTTCGAATTCTTCGAATGGAACATCACCCATACTCTGAAACGCCACAATTACAATTGTTATTTGTCTACAAAACAAACACGGAGACGTTGGATGTCACGCGAAATATTTATCAGTTTAAAACTAAGAGCCGCCATACAACCGCATCGAATAAAATATTGCTTAACAATTCATGCAGTTGTTACTGAATATATGAAATAATGGTATTATTATCTCTGTATATCACTACCGTATTTCGTTACTACATACAATATTTTGATGAAATTAATCAGCCTAATCGTCACAGATTTCTTGATGAACAATATTGTAGGTTCACCAATATAAATACGATAAAAATAAAAACAAGAAGCTGAAAAGGAAAATAGTGACACATCAAATGTTTTTTTTTTTTAATTTCCGACGAAGATATCGGAGGAAAAGGTTCATCATAAATTAAGGTGGAAGGCACAAATTCCCTACATTCAAGGTCCACATAAGGAGAAAACTAAAAACATTACCATAGTATTCTGTAGATTAGTTTAAAAAATATGAAAGTGTAAAAAAAATATATATGAGACGTTTGATATACGATAAGTGCACGCATAAATGCTTGTATAAAAAAATTGCTTTTTTTTTTTCAGTGAGCGAAAATACAATGAGGTAGATCTACGTGGAGCGAAGGAATGATAGTATTTCGAATAGGCAAAAATTATTTTCATATCATTCGCTATAGATACGTATCGCGAACTCTTACTAAAAAATATTCACAAAACTAATTCAAAATACGTAAGAATATCGGCGTTTTCATTTCATTGACCGCTTGCAAGTGTAATATATAAGTAAACTTAAAAGAGAGTTATAGAAATGAAAACCTTCGAAAGCCTTTTAGAACTACCTTTTAATAAGACTTAGCAATAAAAACATTCGCAAAAGAAACCTATAAATGACTGGTAATAAAGCATACCTTTTTGTATATTCATCTGTGATGTATGGAAAAATTAACAAACTTATCGTAATTGACAGAGAACCACTGAGGACCCTCTAACTCTTTCTATCATGACAAATCACTACCATACAAAACGCAAGCACGTCGTATGATAGTTTTGTATGATAGTGATTTGTTATCACTGTCCCTCCCTTATGGTTATTTAGTTTTAAAATAACTCACGAAACCATCGTGACAATTCTCAAGCAAGCGCCAAATAGAAGCTTAAACGGCGGTTAAAATATATTTTGATGCTTAAAAGACTGTCAATTGACTTTTGACATATAATGCCTATTATTTAAAATAGAGAAAAATAGATCTAACGATCTATATAACAAAGCGAACTTAATCGCGGACCATGTAAAATTTCTCGCCTCGATTACTATTATATTTTGGCACAGAACAGTTGCAATTATTACGAAACGGATAACCTGTTTCCTTCAAGATTAAAACGTGTCAGGAAAGATATGAGAGGGAATTGAATTTGTAGCTACAGATCTAGTTTGTATGCACCCTAAGATTTGTTCAGATCTTCAGTATTTAAACGATAAAGTCTGACTTTCTAGTCTCAATCTCGCTTTTCACAATGTTTCATCTCAGAACAAACTCCGAATCTTATAATTAAAATAAACACAGAATGATTCAAACGCTGCCAGAATTGCTAGATGTAATGTTATATAATAAATTCCATATGAGAAAAAAAACCTCAAGCCGTTCTAATTAAATACATGCCTTAAGCTAATTATTACTATAATACAGATTATAAATACTTACAATATAAACGTTTCGATGTTGTGTCCGAATTATGAGAGAATAAAACATGGCAGTCTAATAAAAAAAAAAACGCAGCCAAACGCTGACCACAAAGTTCATAGTGCAGACAAACAAAAAAAAACCGTTATACTAATTTTTTGTATCCGCGTAAATGGCGGGAGATTATGACATAAACTGTACCGCTGTTTAACGCCGCCTTCTTTAAAATAAGGACAAAATTGAATATCAAATGAAAAATATTCCTTTGTTTCATATAAATGTAAAATAAAAACAATAGGCAACCGTTGTTATACAAATACACACGAAGCGAACCAATCTGACACAACATCTAAAAAAAATATAAAATAAATGCCTTTATAAGAGAAAATAAAATATAATTTAAGAACTTTTTACACGATATACACGTCAGTCGTAAGAAAAATATCGAATAGTCTTGTCAGTGATCGAACTATTTACATTAAAATTACATGTAATAGTCACCCTCACTTCTACTTACAACTTACGTGAAACGATCGCAATTTGAAGAAGCGTAGACAATGCACTTGGACGTCAGTGGGGAATTCCCCTATAACTTCAAACCATAGACAATATTCTCAGGCATTAGTCGGGTGTTCCCCAGGAGTGATTCAATTTACTATTAATTATTCGTTGCTTACACAATATGAGTTCGGTATCCCTTTTAAAATACTCTATAAATTGAGAAATTACCACTGTTTATTGCGATCGTTTCGCGTAATAACAGATAAAAACTACTTTGTGATGACGTTATCACATCGTTGTCATGAATACACAGATTGCTTAATTATCGTGATGATTTATTGTTAAAAAAATGTAATTTTATTGCTTGTTACATCGATCGACAGCAAAGAGGCGCGTTCCATTCTACAAATACTGTGTGGCAGTGAGAACTACTGGGAAAATTAAAAAAAGAAAAGAATGATCCACCCCTCTCCTGTTCTATACAAAAATCTTAGCTTTACTGAAAATCCTAAAACGACGTTAAACGGTAAGAAATCAAAGCGATTTTGCAATAGATTACAGACTATGTCAAAGTAAAGATTATAAATGAGTAATGTAGATAATAAAAAAGAAACTGATAAACCTTTTTTTTTTACAAATAGCAAGTAGTTAATCGCTCTAAACGAGGACAATAAAAAGGTTTAATATCATTTAGATTCAATATAAGCAGACATACAATCTCGTGATCGATTGAATAATGTGTAAAAATAACATTTAGCCTAATAATAATAAATACAAAAATATCCTCCTTAAAATGTAACTATATAAAGTATTAAGACATTCTCTTAATGCCCTTCTAGTCTCTCGAAATAAATTACGACAGATTTTAGTGACACAACTCCATTCGGCAAATCGAATTCTAGCACAGTGTTGTCTTGTTATCATACTAAATGTGATGTCATGACTAAGGAATAAAACATAACATACGGTTAGCCATTATATCTTCGTATTTCAAGGCGTATTTAAATTGATTCGATCGGTTATTAAATACATAATAAAAATGAGTTCATTATCGTGTATAATTAATAGATATAGTATATATAAGTATATATATATAAAAGGTATATATATAATAGATATACATATTTAGAAAAATATTTAAAAAAAAAGTATCCGTGGGTGTTTATTTTGAAAACATAGGAAAATACTGTTTACAAGATGAGAACAATCAATCCGAAGAAGTGTTCATGTAAATTTTTCTCATTTGATTCAAATAATATTTATTTACAGAAAACTATTATTTAATCCGTTTCTATAATCGCACTTTATACCTTGAAATACGAGAGGTCCGGCGCAGCGCAGGTTGAAAAGTGCGAAACGTCCATTTTCTGCGCGTGGAGGCGAGGGGTCGGTGGCGCGTCGGCAGCTGAGTATTAACATTCGAACCTCGCCGCTTGAGCAAAACACTAGCATCACTATGTACAAAGTACGGCACTCGCACGATACGCGCTTATTTAAATTGGTGTCTCGATCTGCAACAAACGGGGATGTTTGAAGAATTCAATATCGTCAGGGTCCGTATACGATACGTTTTCGAGTGCATATCAAGTAGTAATTAAATAAAAATTAAATAAACAATAGAATTAAGTACACAAAATATCATAGAAATATTGGTTAGAACCGCATATTAATGGTTGTAATGAAGGGTAAATTTCCTGTGTTTAGGAAAATGGTTGTGATCGAGGGAGTTGACAGCCGTAATGAGCGTTGACGTATAGATGTTCGAATGCTAAGGTGAATGATGTCTTGTATGTATGGTATTAGTCGTTAGGGCAGTTGGGCGGGCGCTATTAGCGGCCGAGGTAGTTGTGCGGGTGCTATTAGCGGCCGAGGTAGTTGTGCGGGTCTTATAAGGGACCGAGGCAGTTGTGCGGGTGTTATTAGCGGCCGAGGTAGTTGTGCGGGTGTTAGTAGCGGCCGAGGCAGTTGTGCAGGTGTTAGTAGCGGCCGAGGCAGTTGTGCGGGTGTTATTAGCGGCCGAGGTAGTTGTGCGGGTGTTAGTAGCGGCCGAGGTAGTTGTGCGGGTGTTAGTAGCGGCCGAGGCAGTTGTGCGGGTGTTAGTAGCGGCCGAGGCAGTTGTGCGGGTGTTATTAGCGGCCGAGGTTGTTGTGCGGGTGTTATTAGCGGCCGAGGTAGTTGTGCGGGTGTTAGTAGCGGCCGAGGTAGTTGTTTTAGTTGAGCGCGGCCGAGTTGTGCGGGTGGTAGTAGCGGCCGAGGTAGTTGTGCGGGTGTTATTAGCGGCCGAGGCAGTTGTGCGGATGTTAGTAGCGGCCGAGGCAGTTGTGCGGGTGAGTGATAGTAGCGGCCGAGGCAGTTGTGCGGGTGTCATTAGCGAAGTTGTGCGGGTGTTATTAGCGGCCGAGGTAGCTGTGCGGGTGTTATTAGCGGCCGAGGTAGTTGTGCGGGTGTTAGTTGCGGCCGAGGCAGTTGTGCGGGTGTTATAAGGGGCCGAGGCAGTTGTGCGGGTGTTATTAGCGGCCGAGGTTAGGTCCGAGGGTGGCAGTGGCGGCGGCGGTACCGGGCGGGCGTCAGCGGGGCCTCGCGCGCTTGGCGGGCGGCGCGTGGTGCTGGCCGAGCGTGACGAGCGCCGAGGCGACGGCCAGCCCGCCCAGCGGCGGCGCGCGGCCCGTGCCGCCCGTCGGCAGCCGCACCAGCAGCGACAGCACGGCCGCGCGCCCGCCGCGGCACGGCTCCAGCGCCACCGGCGCCGGCACGCCGCACCCTGAGTGCAACAAACAGAAGGCAGAGTGAAAACGCGGCGATGCTGCGCGGTCCTTTCCTATCGCTACATCGACATTTATGGATTCCTCCTATTCTTGATTTTGTTTTGCTTTCAAAATATTATTTTATTACTTTTTTTTATTTTATCAATCTGTTGTTCCGATACTTCACTTGTACATAACTATGTACGGATGAAGTTGATTAAATGTCTAATAAAACATTTCTAAAATCAACAAAGTGGACGACGAAACGCGGGGCATTAGGAACTCTTCTAGTCACCGAGGTAGTGGGGGCCCACTTTTATTTAATGGTTGTCAACATCTGAAATCCCTCAGCTAATTTAGATGTACCTACACAAGCGACGGTAATCACTAGACATCAGAAGAACTGCCTAGTTATTACAAGTCGCTAGCCCACGTAAATAAGTACAGGACCAAAAGCAGGGTAACACCATAATATTTAGCACTAACTCATTCAAATAGTTATTTCGAGTGTGATATGTCCAGAAGCTTTGAAATTAAACCAATCACTGTCGGTAAGACCACGCAACGGCTTTGGCTGTTGCACAAATGGGCAGGTCTGTCTGGGTTAGTACCACGACCTCACAGAAAACCGATGTAAAGTAGAAGTGTTACACTTCTGCGTTTCGACTGGTGAGTGAGGTGGCCGGGGCTCACCTTATTAAAAGGTAGCAACGCATCTGCAACCCAACTGGTGTCTATGGGCGGCGGTTATCACTTAACATCAGGTGAGCCGCCACCTCGTTTGTTAACTTTTCACGTTTAAAAAAATCAAAACGTCTGTCTGTCTATTCGACATTCGACTCGCTTGCTGCTCGTACACTAACCTCCACCGCCCTTCTCCAACTCGACGCAGACTTGACTAAACGGTCTCGACGCCATTTGTTCCATTTCAACGAAAAGCCTCTGTCTCCGTCTGTATATGTCGTATTTCTGTAATGCGAATGGAAAAAACTTAGGACATACGAATTAAAAACACGAAAATTACATACAAACATTACTTTGATACTAGTGCGGTAAATTATTCATGAATTATTTGTATGTAGTGTTCAAATTGAGTATTTGAGTTCAAGGTGAGCGTAGACGGTAAACGATACGCGTATGAAGCTGATCACAAACAAGTTTACCATTATTGTTTATTAGGACATTCCGTCATGTGAATTCACAGATCTTCAATACATTTTATTTAAATTATTATTTTCAAAATATCAATGCTTCCACACGATGTTTTCCTTCGTCGCTGCTTACGTGATAAGTCAGCACAAAAATTGTAACCAACAATTTCAGCGGGCCTCGAAATTAGGTTGTGGTTGAGTATATTAAATAATATCACGAGACAGATTAATGAGAAATAAAAAATTAATATAACGGATGCAATAATAATATATAGGATAACTATTTGCTATATACTATATACTTTAATATCAGTGTTGAAATACCACGTGAGAAACGTCACCTGCTTGATCTTCCAGAGGGCGGCCGCCACCAGCAGCAGCAGCAGGAAGCAGGAGGAGAAGGTGATGAAGAACTGCTGCAGGTTCAGCTTGGGGTACTGCGAGAACGAGATCTGGATCCACAGCGGCGGCCTGAAGTCGTACACGTACACGAAGAACGTCGTCAGCGTCACGTTGTCCTCCACGCCGAACGCGTGCTCCGATTTGGCGAACCTTTGAAATACGATAGGTGTTTACGTTATAATGTATCTTATGTTATGGATCAATTTTACTAGATGGCGCTACTTAAGTTTAAATCACGCTATCGTTTGATTGTTCTAATAGGATATGACAAATTGATATTTTAATAAATTTTAGTTTCGTTTAAACATTGGTCCTTCGAGCCGGATTTGAACCAGCGACCTATGGATAATCAACAATTTCTAGCGCATTTATTTAGCGTGACCGATTCGCCAATCGAAATACGAGAGGCGTTGAAACTCGTGTATGTATGTAGCATATAGGTCCATCGTCAGCGTCCCCAGCCATCAGTCTATTAGATTCGTATATTGTTTGTCAAAGAAGTTTTGTGGTAATGCCATATCTCTCTCCTAATCCCCTAAATCTCTCCTAACAAAAATTAACAAGAAGTTAATGTCGTTAAGAAAAACTTAGGATTAAAAACTTTTTAAAGAATTTATGTTAACTCCATCTATTGACATTTTGTTTTAAAAAACTCATATGATTCAACCAATATTATTGATTCGTCGCGTATTATTAGGGGCGAAGCGTTCACTTATATATAAAATTGGTGCAGCCCTAAATCAAGCAATCGATCATTATAAGATGTTGCGGGTTCCGGCGGCGCAGATTCGCGATCACGTTTGTGCAGCCCTAGACCGAGCCGATCCCCAGATCGATCAAAGATGGCGCGCGGGTCGGTTGGCGGTCATTTGCGTAGTTGTAGCAACCCTAAATCATTTTTTTTGTTTTAAAAACATTGCCCTTAGTTTAGGATAACATTATCCTGTGTTGTAAGGACGTTTTACATACATAAATTTCACGTGGACAAACACCCAGATGCAAAACAACTATCGTGTGGGAATCGAACCCACGACCCCAACGCCGAAGCCAATACTTTGGCGACAGCGCCACGGAGCCAACAGAAGTCAAACAAGAACCTATGTGATTATTAGATCGTTAGGGTTGCCGCCCACTTGTATCTGAAGTTGGTGCAGTTGAGGTCGCTGAAGAGCGTGCGCTCGGCGGGGTCGGCGCGCGTGCGCACGGTGAGGTTCATGCGCGCGTGGGCGGAGCACGCGATGCTGAAGTCCGCGTCTACGTCCGGCTTGACGGGCGCGTTGCGGAAGTTGATCGCGGACAGGTGGCGGTCCTCCTTCTTCGACAGGTTGAACGTGAACTGGTAGTCCACCGCGAGGTCGTCTGCAACGGTTTCCGGTCAGCCATCGGTTCGGCCGTGATGGCTCAGTATTACACTCGGGGCGCTCGCCTTTAATTCAATATGCTCGAGCAGCCCGAGGTCGATCCGCGGTGCCGGCACCGATGGAATTGTTAATTTCAATTGCTGAATTATCACGAGCTCAGCGGTGAAGGAAAGCATCGTGAGGGTACCTGCATATTTTGCGAAATAATAATAAAAAAAATATTTCGAAGACATGTGAAGTCCGCCAATGAGCAGCGGGGCCGGTGGTGGACTATACCCTCTGTACAAAGGAGGCTTTTGCCCAGCAGTGGGACATGTATAGGCTGATACTTTACTTTTACTTTACATAATTTCGACCTGTTTTAGTGCACTCCAACGTAAGCCTCTTATACATACTTCCACGAGAAACGATCCTGAGCCACCTGCGTTGCGTTTTTGGTTAGGTTTTCCACAATGGTCAACTGTAGTAGGGCCACGCAACTGCTGGACAGTGGACTGGCGGTGCACCTGATGTTAAATGATTACCGCCACCCATTGACATTTGCAGCACCTGAGATGCGTTTCCAACCTTTAAAAAAGTGGGTCCACCAGTTACCTCTCTCACCAGGCGAAACGCAAAAGTATAAAAATGCCACTGCACTGTGGTCTTCTGATGACGGAGGTATTTCCTCGGACGAGCCTGCCCCCATAGCGGAACCTGCCGCATGGCCCCATCACTGTGTAAAGCTGATTCTCATAGTCGCTCGAGAGTGTTTAGAACAGAACGCTACGGCATCGTCGTAGCACATCGCTACGATAAAGACCAGCCAAGATTGCCAAAAGAGCGTCCTAGCAGATAGCTACAAGAGGCATAATTGAACGCTACGAGAGAACTGTTGAAGACGTTATGAAAGCGTCGTAGCAGAACGCTATAATTGGTCTTAGCTGGAGGCTACGCGAGAGGCGTAGCAAGGCACGAGCGCAGACTCACAGTAGCAGGCGCCCTTGTTGTAGAGGTCGGCGTGGTAGTGGTTGGTGTTGTCGCACTTGTCGCACCTGTCGCCCGCCAGCCCCTTGGTGGTGCAGTGGCAGCGGCCCGTGTCCGCCGCGCACGTCACCGCCTGCGCGTTGCACTCGCACGCTGCACAAGGACAAGCACCCCACTCGCACCGCGCCCACTGCTGGGCGACCCCTCCCCAACATTGGAGTATACGGTAGGACCACCAACAGTCCTCACTGTTGCGCAAATGGGCAGATCAGTCCGGGTAAGTACCACGACCTCACAGAAGACCGAAGTGAAGTGGAAGTATTATATATAATAAAGTATACTTTGGCATTTAGTCTGGTAAGTGAGGTAGCCGGACCCACTTGATTAAAAGATAGCAACGCAACTGCTACCCTACGGTTGTTGCGAATACCAGTTCTTATGCCGGCAGTTATCACTTAACATCAGGCGAACTGCGAGCCCATTTGCCACCTTCTCACATATAAATAAACAAAACGCTCGGGGTCGTGGGTTCGATTCCCACATCGGCCTAATATATGGGTGGCTAACAATTTCGCCGGATCTGGGTATGTGTTGTGTATTTTTGAAAAAGATAAAGAAGAATAAAACTGAGCCGTGGTGTTTAGTCCGGATATTCGCTTCTAATCTCGGTATACAAGATTAACCGGAGTTCAGTGTTGATTTAACGGACATATAATTATGTTTCACAGATATGTAAAAACATTAAATTAAAAAAGAGGATTCAATGGACTGTACTCTATACATTCAGTAAAGAGGATGCATTGTAGAGCTTGTATATGAATTTTAAATTAAAAGGTGTAAATTGTCACAAAGCAGAGGTTAAACTGCTGGAGTTTATATTTGTGTGTTAGTGTTGTTTTATATCGTTGTATAATTATGTTTGTGTTCGTGTATTGATTTCGGAAAATATAATAGTTAAGTTAACGCAATCTTGAAAAAATGCATTCTATTGCGCAGTTGTTCCGCGCAAGCAACTATGTGGATATGCGCGTTCTTTCTTGCGCTATTCCGGCTACACATGGGCATCGCTCAACGTGCAAGTGTGCTGTTCGGCGTTCGAAACATGCGCACACGTTTGTGCACCACATAGGCAGCGTTCAAACGAGTACGTGTGCCATACACGCGTGCACACACAGCTGTGTGCACGTTCGAACAGAAACCGTGTTCCGACGGCGTGCGTGTGCGTGCGTGTGCGTGTGCGTGCGTGCGTGCGGCGGTGCGCTCACGTTGGCACTCGCCGCCGTTGAGCGGGCTGCCCCAGTGCGCGGGCGCGCACGCGTCGCAGTGGTCGCCCACGGCGCGCGCGCCGCACGGCTGCACGCAGCGCGCCGCCGCGTCGCACACCGCGTGCCCGTTGCACTGGCACAGCGGGCAGCGCGTGAAGTGCCACCTGCCCGCAAACAACACAGAACACATCATTGACATTGACCCCACTTCCTCGGCACCAAAGTCAATAGCTTAGCAATGGCGCCACCGAGTCATCAGAAATCTTATAATTTGAAATTATGAAAATGTTAACGTTAGAGAGAGACGCCGCTACGTTAGAGGGGGACGGCGCACCTGTGCTGCGGGCACACGTGCGGCTGGTGGGGGCGCCGCTGGCCGCCGGGCAGGCACACGCCTCTGCCGCCGCCCTCGCCGTCGTCACACCAGCCGCACGCCGGCTCCGCCCTGCACAGCGCGCAGCCAGCATGCGCCGAGCACCCGCCCCCCGCACCACCCGCACCCGCCCCCGCCCCCGCGCCGGCACCCGCCCCCGCCCCCGCGGCCCCGCCCCCGCCGCCCCCCCGGCGCACCCGCCCGTCGACCACGCGCGGCAACCGCCCAGCGGGAACGAGGCGCCGTACGCGTTCTGCAACCGACAAGCGGTTCAGTATTAGTATGGGTCCAGCATAGTCCGCTCCACATCGAGTGAATGGAAATCCGACTTCCAAACGTTCAGACGGCAAATCACCCGTAATGGGGATGTAATAGAGGCCGTTCTGCAAACGACCGGACTACACATGTCTTCACTGCAATAGAACTACGCCGCGAACATCTCGACAGACGTGTAGGTGGAGCTTTCTTTTTATACAACTCGTACACGCCCCCGTGAGGTTGTTGACTCTCTAACTAATTGGTTAGGTTAAACAAAATTTTGCAGTACAAGTATGGAATTGGGGGTTTCACGTTGAATGTAATGATAGCGCTCAAGATACATTGAAGTCCTTCTTTACAGAAACATGAGTACAAAATAAAAAGCGATTAATGAATGTTCCTGATAGACACAAATCGGTATTAAGCGTTCTAACTTTTCAGATTAAAATCTGATTAGTTGTAAGAAAATTTATTTTCTACTTAGTCGCTAAATGAACATTCCTGATAAACACAGATGAGTTTTAATCACTTAAAATATCATATCCGGTTCGACGTATCCGGTTGGAAGGACCAAACTCCATAAAAGACTGCTGAGATAGGACTATCGTACCTTGTCGACACAGCGCCCCGCCGACGCGCACCAAATGCACTCCTCGGCTGTGCAGTTGGCGCACGTGGTGTACGTGGCGCAAGGAGCGCTACACGCACCGGCCGACACACTCCTGCGTAAGGTATAACACGTTACACGACGTTGCCAAAGAATTTACCCGTTTAGCAGTTAGAAAAAAAGTTACTCCATTAGGAATTATAAAGAAGTTATACCATTAACTCACGGTTTCTGAAACACTGATCATCATAGAAATTAACTAATAAGCTGATAAATGGCTTCTCAAATGTCATTTGAGTTACCAAAAGGGTCATATGAAACTATTTCAACAGACCTCAACGGTTCAAATAGTTTCATTCAGTAATGTGTGGTCGCATAAATACAAGAAATTAAGTGGAGGCGTGATAAATGATATTTTAAACTGAATTCAAAGTTAATGAAACTATTTGTAACCGAGTCTCCTAAGTCCGTCTGCCGTTGTATAGTTTATCTTACACATAAAATAGAGTAAACCACCCTACGCACCTTATGTCGTCCGAAGAGTTGGCCGGTTTACACTTCACGGTGTCATAGTCCCAATAGCACGCTCTCTGGTTGACATCATCTATACCCTAAAAATGGAAACATTTAAGTGAATGTTCTTTGTACTGAATAAATGTAATGAATCCTTACTATTCAATATAAAATTAATTTTGGTATGGTCCATGTTATGTAACTTTAAAAAAATTGTGGATTAAGCAGTTTCTGTAACAAAATTTACAGTACATTATATATTCGTCTATATATTTTTTTTATGTGAAAAGTTGCCAAGCGAGCAGACGGTTCACCTGATGTTAAGTGAATACCGCCGCCCATGGACAGCTACTCCACCCGAGGGTTCCAGATGCGTTGACAGCTTTTTGAAAATTTGTCTCCGGCCACCTCACTCACCAGACGAAACGCGATAGTATTATAATTCGACTTTACGCCGGTCTTCTGTGAGGTCGTGGTACTTATGCGGGGGGGGGGGGGGGGGATAGTAAGTCCCAACGACCACTACGACCCACTAAGATCTTTTATCGTCTTCCTTTCGCAAACAGTGCCCCTTAATGTGGGATAGCATTTTCTTGTGTTTAAGGACGTTTAACATATATTCATTTCACGTGGACAAACACCCAGATCCGAGACAATTATCCGTGGCCACACAAACAGTTGCCTCGTGTGGAACTTTATCCACAACACCTCGGCCTCGGTGTCAAAGGGGGGTGGTGGTGGTGGTGGTGGTGGTGGTGGTGGTGGTGGTGGTGGTGGTGGTGGTGGTGGTGGTGGTGGTGGTGGTGATGGTGGTGGTACTGACGTGCGCGTGGTGGTGGCGGTGGGCGTGGCAGGCGGCGCACGAGTGGTAGCGGGCGCACGCGTCCCTCGCCGGCTCCGTGCTCGCGCCCCCGCACTCCTCCAGCGATAGCGCCATCTGTCGGGAGCCACGAACAGAACATGTGTTATATTATTCTCTCTCTTTCATTGACATCTGTAAGAACTTGCAGCCTAAACTAGCGAGGTCATTTGACTCAGACGAATTACAATATCTCTTTCTACCCTTGCTTAGATGCTATTTATATTTATATTTTAGGACACATTTTTTGACACAAACATTCTCAAAACTGAGCAACGCTTGTACTATGGGTACTAAATTAATGATAAACATACTTGAATAATAATGTTAATAGTACTCGGGTGAACTGCCGTACTCTATCAGGGTCGGTGGGGTCGATGGGGTCTTCAGTGCAAGTGGGGTAAATGGAGTCGGTAGGACCAGTGGGGTCAATGGGGTCTTCAGTGCAAGTGGGGTAAATGGAGTCGGTAGGACCAGTGGGGTAAATGGAGTCGGTAGGACCAGTGGGGTCAATGGGGTCTTCAGTGCAAGTGGGGTAAATGGAGTCGGTAGGACCAGTGGGGTCAATGGGGTCTTCAGTGCAAGTGGGGTAAATGGAGTCGGTAGGGCCAATGGGGTCTTCAGTGCAAGTGGGGTCAATGGGGTCTTCAGTGCAAGTGGGGTAAATGGAGTCGGTAGGGCCGGTGAGGTCAATGGGGTCTTCAGTGCAAGTGGGGTCAATGGGGTTTTCAGTGCAAGTGGGGTCAATGGGGTCTTCAGTGCAAGTAGGGTCAATGGGGTCTTCAGTGCAAGTGGGGTAAATGGAGTCGGTAGGGTCGATTGGGTCTTCAGGACAAGTGGAGTAAATGGAGTCGGTAGGGCCGGTGGGGTCAATTGGGTCTTCAGGACAAGTGGGGTAAATGGAGTCGGTAGGGCCGGTGGGGTCAATGGGGTCGGTATGGTCGTTGCGAGCGGCCGACCTGGTGCGTGTGGCGCAGGCAGTACTGGGCGGAGGGGTAGCAGGCGCCGCACCACGCGCAGCCGGCGGCGGTGCACGCGCCGCACCACTCGGCAGACGCGCACCGCTTCTCGTCTGCGAGGAACATATGGGAACCACGAATGTAGCCAATTATAATCTCGTAACAGCCGTTGCCGGAGCAGCTGGACTGGGGCACGGTAGACCGGCGTGAAGTATGATGAACTAGGGCACTACGGACGTACGTAAAAGTATTGACGTTTTCGCGTCTAATATTGCGGACGGCATCAACAGATCGGTAACCCACGAGTGTTGCCTATTTTGGCGAAATGCGGCTCGGGCCCTTCCGCCAACATATATGGTGAAGAAAACAGTAAGTATAGATGAGTAGACGTAAATCGGCCAAAATTAAACCACGATCAATTTGATCAATTTACCAAAAATGCTATATTATGCATAATTTTGTCTAATTTTTTCGATTTTTATCATGTAACGGAAAAGTCTTTTCACTGGTCCACGAAAATAATAAAAGGATAATTTGAATTTATTTACTAAATATTCATTGTGTCTTTTTATTGTATGAATTTATTTCTCTAGATTTCATGTAAAATTATTAACAGCCACTTACCTAGCACGGGTTCGAACGCGCACGTTTTTACCGTTCCGTCAAACGATTTCGCCCAACCAACCTCCTCCAGCTGAAAATATTATTTTTTTCTTATTATAATTGAAGAAACGGGGAGAATCGCCACGTACACTCTACGAGCCAGTTAGTATTATGTCCGACATATGCCCGGTTTTTATATTCAACTAACGGCCGTTAGTTAGATAGCTTCGTAACTTTCATAACGACTTGTAGATTGAAGGAACGCTAGTAACTCACTTTCCGTAGGTAATGCAACGGGACTCGTAAGGAAAACGCCTCGATTTGTTAATATAGGAACCGGGCGTCGACGCCTTTTATCTACAAGTCGTTATGAAAGTTACGAATCTATGTAATTAACGGCCGTTCGTTGAATATAGGAACCGGGCAATAGATGTGTAAATCATCAACGTATTGTGGCACTGAGACAGGTAGCTATTTAAGCAGTAGCATTAGCCAGCTAGCATCATGTCCGAGTGTAGCTGCGACAGTACAACGAGCCATCGACTCGCTGGCCACGCACGCTGTACGAGCCAGCTAATATCAAATCCAACTGTTTAGAAAACAGCTGTTTAGAACGCCGCGCGAGCCAGCCCGTCGAGCCAGCCCGCGGCGAGCCCACGCACCGGCACGCAGAGGCGGTCGCGCGTGCGCCAGGCGCAAGCCAGCGCGGCGCTGGCTGTGCTGGCTACGCATGCCGCCTCGTCCAGCCGCGAGCCGCACGCCGCGCCCGTCTCGAACACCAGCGCGTCCGAGCGCAGCCGCCCGTCGAACCTGCGACGAATGTTACACCTCACGTCCGTCTCTTTCGTGGATTTCCTCATGGATAGCTGATGATTACGTCGTCTGCGTTACTTATTGTATTGACTACAGTTGAAATTGCAGGAAAACAAGAAGATCGCAAACATCGCAAACAAAATAAATTATATATGTATTATATAAAAAATACATAATTTTTCTTGTATTACTTGAGTTGAGGGAGAGTTGTCCCTATTGGTAAATGCCCGACATTCCGGCATTCCGACTGCGCCATGACTCGTAGTGACTCCTGCAGCCATAACCACCGTCGGAGGGGACTAAAAGGGCGCCCCAACTATATCCATCAACGTTCGCACAGCCTCTACCGGAATGGAAATAAAATTCGGTGGCGGGAAAGGTGAAGACTAGCGATTAACCTAATATTAAGTAACAACCGCCGCCCATGAACACTTTTCGAAAAAGTGGGCCCCGGCTACCTCGCTCACCAGAGCACAAGTATAACACTTCCGCTTCACGCCGGTCTTCTGCGAGGTCGTGCTACTTCCCCGCGCGGAGCTGCCCATTCGTGCAACCGCGAAGACCGCCGCGTGGGCCCACCACGGCCCACCACGGCGCACGGTGGTGGAGCGGCACTCACCCGCCGTAGACGATGGCGGCGCGGCGCGCACTGAGCGGCAACGGCGCGGCCGCGTGCGCCGCCCTCGCCGCGCCGCGGGGCTCCGGCGCCGCGCGCCACACGCCGCAGCTGAAAGCACATTACATTGGCGGGATATTTACTTGTTTTAATAAAATAAAAATATATACAATATGTTGATAAAAGAATTATAAATAAATAAATAGGACCCAATCAGACGGAAGCCCTCGGCAGGGGAGGCCAAACGGTCAAGGGTTAGGGCGAAATGACACATGAATGCGACACCGCAAAATCGGTTACGACGCAAGAAAATAGGGGGGAGGGAGAAGATAAGAAGGGAGGGGAGGGGAGGGAAAGAAAGAAGATGGGGGAGGGAGAGGCGTGAGAGAATGAGAAGAAAGGAGAGGCGGGTGCGAGAGGGAGAGGGAGAAAGGGGAGAAGGAAAGGAGAGAGAGAGCACTCACCGCACGTCATAAAGCAACGCGCTGCCCGAGTAGCACTTGGAGGCGGCGGGGTTGGCCACCGCCGCGGCGGCGCTGTCGTTGTGCGCATTCCCGCCGAAAACCAGCATCACGCCTGCGGAAACACAACATCAAAGCACTGTAATTTTAAAAATAAAACTTTCACGGCCAGGATTCGAACCCGAGCCTCCCGAATTACGCGTCCGGACGATCTTACCATTGAGATGGGCGGTCGACATCCTTCACAACGTCTTGTCTACTTGTTTATATTGCATTTGAGGCCGTTTTATTATTATTACTTATCTATTGATCATATAGATGGCGCAGTGTCTGAGCTATTGGCTTGGACGCCGGGTCAAAATTAATCAGTGACAAATAAGTATTTACGCTAATATACACGAGTGTTGACCACCAAACACGCCAAAATGGCGGCAATACTAATCGACATAGTTGAGATGAACTTACCGGGGGAGACGAATATAGCGGTGTGCAGATATCTTGGCGTGGGCGCGGAGGGCAGTGGCCTCCATACCCTATTCTCCACGTCGTATTCGTATAGAGCTGACGACGGCGCCTGAAATGAGCGTGGAAGATTTTTTTAAGCAACGAAAAGCAAATAAGTCGGTACGGAGATAAGGTCGTTGAGCGACTTGATGACGAAACGACAGTGTGATTGTGATGGTAGCATTTTGAAACGACTGTGTGTGAGTGACAAGGTCAAGGGGAAATAAATGGAGTTATAAAATAATGGAAAGATGGGTATTGTAGTGGTGTGATAAATTCATAGTGCAAAAATATGATGGGGTGACGTGATGAATCCGTGCCGCAGTTGCCAAGGTATTGGCTACGGCGTCGGGGGTCGTGGGTTCGATTCCCACTCGGAACAACTATTTGTGTGACTCACAGATAGTCCTTGCGCATCTGGGTGTTTCTCCGCGTGAAATTTATGTATGTAAAACGTCCTTACAACACAGGATAATGTTATCCTAAAGTAAGGGCAATGTTTTTTAAAAATAGAATAGAAAAAAATGACAAAGCGACCTCACACTGTAGAGTAGGGTGAGTATGCAATGGAATATCGGGCGGCAGAATTATATGGAGACGGGATATAGAGATGATAACGTGAGATGTGGTGCACGAGCAATTGGATGACGGTACTAAATGATCATAAAGCGACAGGTTAACTTGGCGACATAATGCTCGAGCGATGGGATGACGGTGAGGCATGATGAGAGGTCGACAGGTTGAAATTATGTTGGAACGATTGGATGATAGGGTGACAGGTTAACGGGGCGATATAACGCTCGAGCTGTCGGATGACGGTGTGAAATGATAATAGCGACAGGTTAACGGGGTATTAAATGCTTAGATGACGCTGCGACGTGACGATAGTGACAGATTAACGGGACGATATGATACTCGAGCGGTCCGATGGCAGTGCGGCGTGATAATAGTGACAGGTTAAGAAGGAGATATAAGGCTCGAGCGATCTGATGACGGGCGAAGGGGTGAAGGGGTCGAAGGGGGCGCAGGGGGCGCAGGGGGCGCAGGGGGCGTGGCGGCACCTGCGCGGCCTCCGACTCGGAGACGAGGCCGGCGTGCACGTAGACGCGGCGCGAGAGCGGGTCCCAGGCGGCCGAGTGGCCGAAGCCGGCGCGCGCCGCCCAGCCGCGCACCGCAGCGCCCGCCCACGCGCCCTCCTCCACGTGGAACTCCTAGGCGGGCGCGTGCTTCATTTTATTTTGTTTCAAACATTTTTTTAGCTTGCGGTTCGCCTGATAGTGCATTGTTCATTTGCAACAAAATGCGTTGCCACCGTCGATTACAGAGGGCCCCGGCTACCTCCACTCACCAAACGAAACGCGGAAGTGTAACACTTCCACTTTACGCCGGTCTTCTTATCAGGAGTGTAAAGTGGCCCTATCACCGTCAGACCCATTTTATCATATTTCTGCACAATAGCGTACAATGGCGGACTTAACGCCTTTAGGCCAACCGAAAAATAAATTGAGAAAATAAGAGTTGTTAGATTCCACTTCGCCGTGGCTGGGCAACGCGGCATCTTCTACTTTTGCAGGAATGGGCAGGCTCAGGAAACTACCACAACCTCACAGAAGACAGACCAAGACAGAAGAAGAGTGGACATCCACAACCCCACAGTGTCGCAGATGCCAATACTAATGACAACAATCACTTAACATCAGACGAACCGCCATCCCGCTTGGGAACTTTTCGCACAAACAAAAATCGTTTAAATTTTTAATGCTCTTAGGGATACTACACGAGTACTGCACGGCCATGTCTCATTTAAGATATTTAAAACACCCTTTCATATAACTATTAACGAACAAAGAGGGGTGATTTGGTTACCCGTGCATTTAGCATTGTCAGCTTTCGTGGCGAATTAGCACGAATCATTCTGCAGGGTGGGTATCTCGAAGACATCAATAAGGGTGTGACATTAAAAAGTGTAAAGTGAAGCATTCACCTGCACCGTGTGCATATACCCGTAGTGAGGGGAGTGGCCGAAGAACACCACCATGACAGGTTTCTGCGTGATGCCAACATATGCCAGCACAGCCGTGTGGCCGGAGAGATGCAGACCGCCTGCAGGGGATGGAAACTTTAATATTCATTTCATATGAGTTCAATTTATTGATAGAACAGGCAGATATGATCACAGTCTCTGACTTTCATCATAGTTAAAATCTCGTGTGATACCGTAAGTCAATAATTTTTATACAAGTTAGTTTTTGTGATTATTTTTACGTTAAAATATTTGTATAATAATTTGCAGTTTACAAGTCTACATTAAAAGCCAATAGCTAAGAAAAAATTAAAGTAACCTTTTTCTCCAGTTTGATTGCTTTATTACAGAATAGCCATGCAGAGTTTAGTCGTTTATCGGGATGAATGGTGTTAATTTTCATTTATATAGACATCCAGGGTTAAGCAATTAAATCAGACAGGAAGTGGAAATTGAATAGAACACTACAGAACTATCGACACGCGAATTCAATTATAGCCAAACATAAGTGCAAGGATGAAGCTAAAAGTGGATTGGGAGGAAAAGGTAGTGGTGAGGCAAGTGGTGTAGTTGGTGAAGGTAGTGTGAGTTGTGAGGGGCTGTGTGCGTGCTCACCGCAGTGGCGGAAGGGGGCGTTGCGGTGCGGCGAGCAGGCGGTGGGCGTGGCGTTGGCCCAGGCCACGGCGCCGCCCTGCAGCCGGCCGCGCCACACCTCGTTGCTGGCCTCGCCGCCGCGCCCCTCCAGCCCCGCCAGCCCGCCGCTGCGCCAGGAGGAGGTCAGTGCCTACTCACACGTTGCGTCACACAACTCGCCGTTGATGCCGCGACAAGCTTAACGCCCTAACTACTTCCACGTTTGGCCCGACCACTTCCGCGTTTCATCGCCGAATGTACAGTGTTCGGAGTTGTCATTTATATTATGCACCATTCGTTCATTTCACTCGCTTACATAAATGTATGTTGTATGCCTAATTTAAGGAAGTGCGCGGTACGCCTCCGTTGAATCAATACCAAACCAATTATTTATACAGCGGATTCAATAACCATTGTAACCAGTAATTATTGATTAGTGTATTATACCATCATACTATACTACTATATATGAGTGTTAACAAATCATTTACTGAACTATCTCTAAACACTCTATAGTATTACCATATATCACTAAAAGAAGACTATTCGTCAAGAGACAACTTCTAGAGTCATATGAAAGCAATCGACATTTTCGTTACATATGTCATTTGAAAATACGCGACACGTTTTGACCCAGCCTTGATGGCTAGCGATACCATAGACGAGGCAACCTATAGTTTGACGAAAACTTCGTATCTTCTGTGCTTCCGAGGGGCGCTCACCCTCTCTCGGGGTCGTCGGAGGTCACCACGCCCCCGTAGACGATGATCTCGTCCCCGTACATTACGGCGGAGTGGGCGAAGCGGGGCGCGGGGCTGGCGGAGGCGTCGTCTAAGGGGGTTATGGGGTACCATCTGTTCTCCGCCACCTTGTATCTGGAATGTACCGTAATGGATTAATATTGCGATATTGATATACCCACCCCCGTACTACCCCACCCCATATACCCCACATACAGCACGTATGTGAGGTAGGTAGTGCAAAACATTGCGTCGTGTTCCGGCCGATAAGACAGAGACACGTGCAATGTAGATTTTTAGTTTTTTTTTCCTTTCGGCCCGGGTCTCCCACATACCCCTGCAGCTCCTTAAAATTGCTACCGACATGGTACTATATGGGATTTCCCCGTGTAAAAACGTACGGGACGATATATATATATATAGACGCGGTCACCACAATCCGGTATAAATATTTACAGAGTGACGGCTCGAACCGAGGCTCCGTTGGGAGCTCTCGATCTTAGCCACTCATAAACGAGGTTCAGGCTTGGCGCCCTCAGCTCCCGGCTACTTCAAACCCGTTGGATCTGTAAAGGCCTCCTAAATAATTGTAATTGTTTTTGTGTAATATTATTTTTGTAATAACTTGTTTTATTTTCTGTTGTAATTTTAGTTTAATTTTCATATAATATCTAGAGCCGTGATATCTCAGTGTCCGGGCGCTCGCCTTTAATTCAGTTATACTCGAGCAACATGAGTTCGATCTCCGGTGATGGCACCAATGAAATTGTTAATTTTAAGTGTTGAGTTATCACGTGCTCAGCGGTGAAGGAAAATATCTTGAGCAAACCTGGATATTTTCGAAATAATAATTAATATTTTTTTGTAATTAATGTTTGCGTTGCATCTTAACTCAACAATGCTGTTAAACTTTATTCTGATAGTCTCTACTGTCAGTCTGTTATAAAGTACCCATAATTAAGGCACCTTACGTAAACCTTGTGTATAAATTCCGTTACGGTGTGTACTTGGTTGGTGATGAATAACTACAGGCAAACAGTGAACGGTCCGGCACAAAAAAAAAACAATTCTAAAATCGAACGCCGTCACCTGTAGAGGAAGTGCGCAGGCGCGAACGTCTCGCCGCCGACGCGCAGCAGGTCGGCGCCGTGCGCGAGCAGCGAGTGCGCGGCGACGGGGGGCGGCGGGTGGGCGGGCGGGGGGCGGCGGGGGCGCGAGTCGCGCTCCTCGCGCCAGCGCCACTGCCACGCGGCGCGCGCGCCGTCCCGCTCGCACGCGTCGCCGCCGCGGCCCGCCGCGCACTCGCACCCGCCGCCCGTGCACTCGCCCGCGCCGTACGCCGCGTTGCACTCGTCTGCGGGCGCGGGACACGTTCGAAATTCGAATGGAGCTCGTTCTTGAAATTGGTCTCCCGGGCGCGTGATAGATAAAGGTACGTACTTGAGTTGGGGCGCGTGACGCGTTCGAAATTCAAATTGAACTCGTGCGGCTCCCGAGCGTTTGATAGAAAAGATACTCGTGTTCGGTCGCGTAACGAGTTCGAAATTCAAATTTAAATTGTGCGGCTTCCGAGGGCGTGATAGAAAAGATACTCGTGTTCGGGCGCGTAACGCGTTCCGAATTCAAATTGGCATTGTGCGGCGAGTGACATAAAAGATATACCTATCTCCGCCGAAGAGCTATAAATGTATCCATCAAACTATATCTTTTTATTTTTTTATGTGAAAAGGTGGCTCACAATTTATTTCAAACTATGTATATCTTTACATTTCTGGAGATATGGTTCATTCCTCTTTATTAAATATGCCATTGAACGATTGACAACGGACACATCATTCGACTCAATAGCTCAGAGAGATATTTAAAAACTGCAAATTACATACAATACAAGAACACGGCACAAGCGTATACAGCGTGTCGTTACCATCGCGACAATAAATGAACACACATATAGGGGATAACTTTTTAAAGTTGTATTAAACATTTAAATTCTTTAAACATCAATATTTACGGAGTTATTAAATTTTCCAAAACAAAGAATTTTAGAACACCCTTACCTATAAAAGCGTAACGTAAAGTTCATTTGTAAAGGGCACTAAGCATATGAATGGGTTGAATGAATTTAAAAGAGACAAAACATACTGTTAAAAGGAGAGGCTTGTAATGCGACGCTGTGGCGCGAGTTGTATAGGATGTTACAAATTTTGTTTCTTTTTTAATTAGTTTGTTTGAAAAATATATTTTTTTTAATTATGGATTTCGTTTAACGTTAATATTTTTTTATGATTAATGGCTGAATAGTAGCGTTAGATGTGTGTTCATTTATTGTCGCGATGGTAACGACATGCTGTATAAATTATTATGCTCTGTTTTGAAAATCAAATGTAATATATCCCGGTGGAGGCGGGTTCAAATTCCTCCCGCAACGGCGAAAAACTTTTCAACCATTTTTCTACAAACTGTTTAAACACACTACAACAAAATAATTCTAGAACCATCGATGCCCGCGCTTTCGTTCGTACTTTATTAAAAGGTGGCAACTGTCAATGGGCGGCGGTTATCGCTTAACATCAGGTGAACCGCCGGCTCGTTTGCCACCTTCTCACGTATGAAAAGAAAACTTATCAATCTCGATCGTACCTGGACATAGCGGCTGGTCGCACGCAGCGCCGACCCAGTCTGGCTCGCATTTACAGTTGCCATCCTCGCACTCGCCGTGATCTGAAAATGGACACAGTGCAGACACTTTATATTTCAGAGCACATTTTTAGGGTTCCGCACCCAAAGGGTAAAACGGGACCTTTAAAAGTTCCTTTAAAATATTATTCATTACATGAGCGCTTCACGCTATTAATACAGAACATGACGTCACAAACGATTTTCATGGGAGAAAGTTGTACCGTGCGAGTAAACTATATGAAACAATAGGTCATCCTCAAATCTCTCAGACAATGCACAAAAGGTGTCCGCAATAATTATCTCAGTCCTTCGAATTTCCGCTCGACATCTGTCAAACGAACAAGAACAATCATTCTCAATATTTATTAGTAGACATACAACATCTAAAAGGCACATTTTAAAAGCAAAACATAACACTTCCATTTCACAACGGTCTTCTGCAGAAGAGGAATAAGGTACGCTACTCACTGGGGCAGACAGACTTTCTTGCCGCAAAAAGGAGTAAGGTATGCTACTCACTTGAGCAAACTTCTTCGCCGCAAAGTGTAATAAGGCACTCTACTCACTGGAGCAGTTGGTCCTAGGGTCGTCGGACGGGCAGGAGTAGGCGGCGTATGTCACGTTGAACCCCTCCATAGCGTACGCATCGTCAGAGAAGAAGTGGAGAAGCACGCTGCCCGAGCGAGCGATCACCTGGCGCGTCCAACTGGAGTCCTCGTCGTCCGGCAGCACACCGCTGGAACACCGCAGAAGCAAAGGATGGGATCACAAGAAACATAAATACGAACCGATAAGAAGTTAATCGGTTCCTAGACGAGGGCGGTACAGCACTAATCCTACACAATCGACGCACGCGGCCCCACCCTAGCTCGAATGTAATGTCATTGTTGGAACTTGGAACGTTGGCGCGAATTTGTACCGTTATGATAGGAATTAAAAATTCATTACTTCTTTTTTTTTTTGCTTATTTTGGCATGCGTTTTCCTTCTAATAACAGACCGAAATACAAAAATGTTCATTAGCTTATTTTAACAGAGGTAAACAATCATACGCGGCGGGGGACTTAGTTTTATATGTTTGCTTTTATCTATCTGAAAAACTTGATGGCTCACATGATAGGATAAAAATAATAAATGACTCTGACATTAAATAGAGAATATTTTTACTAGTATGGCCACATATGGCCACAAGGAAATCATTGTATCGGAACGTCGTAGTTTCGTAACGGTTTTAAATACACACGACGATTAACCTATTGACATGATATTTTAAATATTAATTCATCGATTAAGAAGAGACGTGCACCGAATCGACCATGTATACCGTAACATATCTAAGCATTTAAGTTCGGTGAATGAGTGACCCACTCCGTTACCTAAAGACAGTTAATTTTTCAGACACACCGAGTTCGTTGTTTTGCCAGCTTTACAATAAATATATAAAGAATTCTATTATCATTCATCTTTTAAAATAAAGCCGTTTAAAAACTTTTAAGTTAAGCGGTTTTATTTTATGTTTTTTTTGTGCACTGAAAACTACAATATTGTATTGTCATCTAAATTAAATGTGTGTACCAAATTTCAGATCAATCTGACAACGGGAAGGTGCTTAAATTTCAATTTCTAATTTTGACCCAAATAAATAAATAAATTCCGTAAGGGTCGAGCTAAATAAAACCGTTTAAAAAGGGTTATTTTTGTACAAGAAAGCAACTGAATGATTTTAATGATACGATAGCGATACCCGAAGACCGCCAGTAGTTTTCCCCCCCAAAAACTAGTCATAACCGAATGATAATGATGCTAATGACACGTCAGCGGTACCTGAACACCGCCAACAGCCGCTCCGCTCTGACGCTGTCCCCGTCGTACACGTAGAGGTGGTCCCAGCCGCACTCTGTGGCGAAGCTCTCGAGCCTCACGCGCACCACAGGCGGGTTGGGGCCGAGACGGGGCGGCGATATCAGCCACGTGCAGGCCGTGCTCACGCTGTAGTTGCCCGGCCCGTCAGTTATCACGCCCGTGGGGGCGCTCAGCCTGCGCGGGACGGGCGAACGGAGAAGTTAGAAGAACAAACAACTATACATACAACGGGTGAGTCGGATAAAAAGTATAGTTAAGCGGATAAAGTAACCGAAAGCATGGTTAAATGCAAGTGCTTTATGGATGTTTTTTGTGCGAGAAGATGGCAAGCGAGCTAGCGGTTCACCTGATGTTAAGTGATGACCGCCGCCTATGGACATTTGCAACACCCGTAGGGTCGCAGATGCGTTGTCACCTATGTACAATGTTGGCCCCAGCTACCTCACTCACCAGACGAAACGCAGAATTATGACACTTCCACTTCGCGCCGGTCTTCTGCGAGGCCGTGGATCGTGATCGTCGTCACACCCGAACGGACCTGCCCATTCGTGCAACAGCCGAAGCTGTTGCGTGAACCTACCGTAGTTGAGGTTTTTTCTTCTTTTTTTGTGTGAAAAGTCGTCAAGAGGGGTAGGGGAAGGGCTTTTAGCGGATACCCGTTCTTATTGGAACTCCCACATACCCCTGCCACTCCCCCGTACAAGTCGCAGGGGATCCATAAAGGATTTTACCACGGAAAAACAAAGGCTATTCACCCGATATGAAATATACACCGCCGCCCATGGCCATCCACCACACCCGACGGTTTGCTGATGCGTTGACAGCCGTTATAAAAGTGGGCCCCGGTGGCCTAACTAACCAGACGAAATGCGAAGGTTTAACACTTCTGCGAGGTATTCTGTGAGGTCAACAGGAAGACTGTCGCGTGGCCCTACCACAGTTATATGTTTATAGACGAATGGTATATGTTTTTATATGACAATGACAAATAAAAAACCGCATGATTCTCTCTGTACATCCTTATCGACACAAACACGACAGGATGACATTGGCAATGTACGCAGAGTCCTTGACACAATAAATGCGCATAATATCTTCTAATACTCGCCCTCAAAAGCTAGTTCCGATACCACGGCCTCACGCGTTTCGTCCACCATTACACTCTCTCATGTGTTGAGAACACTGACTTTATAACGCATCTCATTAAAATCACTACAGAGTATAAAACAAAGTTGTCCTGCTGTCTGTCTGACCGCGGAACTTGATGCGGTATTTTTTACTAGATAGAGTGATTCAAGAATATAAAATAAAATTCTCGTATCACACAATTATCGTAATTGAAATTTTGTGTGCATATCGCCCAGGGTGGAGAATCGGACAACATCTATTTTTCATCCCCCTAAATCTTAAGGGTGATCCTACAAATAATTTATGTGACAAAACAATGTTTGCCGGGTCAGCTAGTGTATGTATAATATACATTGCACCCGTGTGAAGCCGGGGCGGGTCGCTAGTAATAAATAAAACAAGTGCAAGTCGGACTCGCGCACGAAGGGTGCAAAATCATGTCTGTTGTATGGGAGATCCGCTTAAATGTTTTTTTATTCTGTTTTATAGTTTGTTGTTATAGCTGCAACAGAAATACATTATCTGTGAAAATTTCAGGTGTCTAACTATCACGCTTCATGAGATACAGCCTGGTGACAGACGGACAGACAGCTGGACAGACAGACAAACAGACAGCGGAATCTTATAAAGTGGCCCCCTTTTACCCTTTGGGTACGGAACCCTAAATGACAAGTAAATATCACTGATATTTTACTTACACTTTGAAAGCGTAAGATTTTCTGTTTCCTGTTATAACTTATAGAAGATTAAGTAATGAATATGACGTACTTTTAATAATCTAAAATTAACCCAAACCATTTAGTTTACGCGGGCACCTGTTTACGTAGGCGCGTTGAGGAATTTTAAAAAATGCTCGTGTCGGAATCGTCGATATAGAAGCTTAACTCTCGTGAAAGCATTATTTAAACGATAGAATGCAAAATGGCTTCAGCGTTCTTGCATTCAATTGTTAGAGAATTAAATACAGTAATATTTGTAGAAGGTACCCTTAAATGTTTGCCCCTTTTATATTTTTTTCATTTCAATATCAGGAGATAATTCGGTTAGTAGATGATCAAACATGACCTGAGGTTTTTGTTTGAATGATGTTGAATTTGAATGAATTTGAATTTGTTTGAATTGAATGATGACTGTTTTAAGCCTGCTGAGACTAGCTATTTTCATGAGTGGCATCCCTACCGCGATTTTAACGCGATGCATAGCCGGTTAAAATCTCTTGTCGACGCAATGGATCGTTAGCAAGATCAGCGCTTCCGATAATAGTAATTACTTCATTTTATTTTGTTCCATATAGCAATTTCCTCATTATTTTGAGACGGGCTTTAGTATTTATCGTCAGAAAACTCCATCGGCGGTGTTATATGATTTCAGCCTGTTTGAGTCCACTGCTGAACATAGGCCTCCCCCACAGACTGCCAAACCGCGATCCCAATAAAAACAATAAATAAAACAAGTAAACAAGTCGCTAGTAATAAATAAAACAAGTGCGAGTCCGACTTGCACTTGTTTTATTTATTACTAGCGACCCGCCCCGGTTTCGCACGGGCGCAAAGTATTATACATATATAAACCTTCGCGGTGTTGGTTCATCATCACCATCTACACGTCAGCCTGTTTGAGCCCACTGCTGAACATAGGCCTCCCCCATAGACTGCCACGAAGTACGAGCACCTGCATCCATCGACTTCCCGCACATTTGCACAGGTCGTCACTCCATCTAGGTGTTGTTATCTAGGTGGTGTTGGTTATTCGATGGAAATTCGAACGGAAGTTAAAGTACGTAATTATTATGTCACAATTAATGATGATTAAATCTGATTGATTAAATCTATCCAACAGTGCATAAAACTTGTAAAAAGTTCCTGTCCTAATTTGCGTTAAAATATCTACTGATATATGCAAATGCAAATGCAAAATTGTATTTGTCGGTTCGTCCTACGAAGCAACTGATGGACGCGATCGTTCGTTCGATCGATTCTGATTTAATCCAATCATTTGGACCACTAAATAGGAATACAGGCGGACAAAGCCGCGGGCAACGACTAGTAATTTATTATGATAGATAGTCGAAGCGTTAACGGAGCGAAGGGTCTATCTATCGATCGATAGTCCGATTGGAGCACGTTGGCTCGCGTGCTTAAGCCACTCCACGGCTGAGAGCGGTTGGCGATTGAAATCTTCGCGACATGCTATTAGTTAACGTTGCAAGGGATGACGGGAAGAATAGCCAACAACATCACACTCCCGCACTTATCCCACCTAGGTGGGGTCGGCACAACATGTGGATCATGCTGTAAGCGGTCTTGGCTATACAGGGAGGCTTTCCTAAGTGTATCCATTTTTTAAAATTAATTTCTAGACATAAATAATGTTATATAAAAATGATAAATATTTAAAATCACTCGTAATTAATTAAATAGATTCATTTTAACTTATCTCATAAAGTGCGTGATTTATGGGCAACTAATTTATTTTACGCGCGATCTCATTCATAACTAAAATTTTCGTTTCAAAAGTATACGACGCATTTATGAATGACTACCGCATTGTCGACAAGTTCAGTTTTTAAGGGAAATTTTTTTGAAAAAAAAGTTTGTTTTTATTTCAATAAACGATTTTACTACCGAGACTTAACCTCCTCCCGCTGTCTGTCTGTCCCTATGCATGCTTAGATCTTTAAAATTACGAATCGGAAAATTACCTATGGGTGGAGATCTAATGGGAGATATTAATATAGAATTTTTTAAGGAAATCCAACCGTTTTGTAGTAAAATGCGTAGAAACAACATTTTTGAAGTTATACTTCTTTTGACGCGTTTGGAAAAAATTATAAAATTTTACCGATGGGCGCGCACACCGACCCTCAAAAAGAGACATGATGAAGTTAGTTGCGAAGCGACCAACTTCACCATGCTTGGTTGTCATGTAATAACAACTTTTTGTCATATGCCAATAAGGGAATTATAAAATGATTTAAATAAACCGCTATCAATTGCAGTTGATGTCTTAACGGTACAGAAGTGTAACTTCTTACGTGGGTACATAAGTACACTCATACTGTTGCTTTTTTTTGTGGAAGGTTGTCAAGCGGAGTGGCGGCTTACCCGCCACTTCCTTCCACTGCCACATATAAAAAAACCTGATAGATTGCGGATGCTTTGCCAGTCGTTGATAAACTGGGCTCCGTTTAACTCACTCACGACTCACGAGACACAACGCAAGCGTTTAGCGTTTCGACTACAGATTAAAAATACCTGTAACAGCCGAAGCCACTGGAACAACTGGTGCCCTTGCCACAAGAGCCTATTGATCGCCATGTCTCGGTCTCGGCCACTACTTTGACCGCCCAAAATGTATTACATTTACCAAAGTGTATACTAATATACCAATCTGAGTATATACAGATGCTGCATATGGTCTAAATATGGCTTGTATTGTTGGCAACATGAAAGGTGCGGGACACTATTCAGTACACGTACACCATGAGTTCGAATTTCGTGTATTATAGACGAGTTGATAAAAATTTTGAACAACCTTAAATAAGCTGGAATGTGAAAACGTAAAAACCTAAAGTAAAAGTGGGACAGCCTATGTATGACCCCACCGCGGATTGACGTATTTCACATATCTTCGAAAAATTTTTGTTTTTATTATTTCAAAAATATGCAGGTTTCCCCGCGATGTTTTCATTCATCAATCAGCACTGGATAAGTCTGGATAATACTGGGATTTAAACCAAGGTTACTTGAGTATATTGAATTAAAAACGAGCTCTTGGACACAGAGCTATCACCGATACTAAAATAGTTGTGTAGTAATAATATACTGGCGGTATATAATTGATATACGACTAAACAGCAGTGATGAGCACTTGTTTGGGTTGTCAATCTCTGCTTTTAATCGCATGTAGTCTGGAAAAAAAGTTTTCAAAATCAAACCACCAATTGATACAGGGGCAGGAAACTAAAAAATGGCTAATAATGAATATATAAATCTTGCTTATTCTTGCTGCCTTTTAAGTGTTAAAGGACACATAACCATTTTTCTAAAGTAGCATTTTATAATATTTCAACTAACAATGCAAGGTATATAAACCTCGTTTTTGACAACTGAATATTTACCAGCATTACGCTACATAATACACTATTCTTAATTTTACATCGGAAGAAATTCATTTTTTTTTATTCCAAGCGATTTGATTACATATATAGATGAGAGGATAGATCCATCTGTAACACACAAATCAAACTGTAAACTGTAATATTACATTTCCTATCAACAATATTCCAAAACCTTGAAATGGGCTCAGAGAGGACTGAATGTTTATTTATAAAAATCCAATTATAAAAATAGCGTACTGATAAATCTGACAAACAAGTCATAAATGCCATCATGTATCTGGATATGAATTGCCCCTCTGAATGTTTGTGTATAATATATAAAAGATTTATCAGCTATTAATGGATCATTATATGCAAATATTTAAGGCTGCATGTGTCAATTAATTATGTTTACACATATTTATCATTTACATATTATTCATATAAATATAGATTATTGAAAAACAATTGATGTCACTTAAACTTTACATTATATTTTAACAAAGTTTTCAACAGTTTTCTATCTTTTAAGATAAGATCTTGTAAAGTAAGATCCAGTTAAACAGAATATTTTCTACCTATAGATTCTATTCGTATTTGAATTTCTTTTGTCAAATTTGTAATAACAACAACTATTATATTTATAAAGGATTTACAATAATGCATCTGTGTTACCTTCTCATTTTTTTACTTAATTTTATTCCGAAGCATACTTTTTGATCTGTAATACAAACCAAGAAATATCTAACAAGTAAATAATTAAGTACATAGAGTTTAAAAATCAATCAGTAATTTGAAATGTGAACAATGGTTAAAATTTTGCTCATTTTATACCTGTATTAAACATATTATATAATATTAAAAATTTTGTGACAATGTGTGAATAACATAAAATGTTTGTTGAATGAATGAAACAATGAAACATTTTATGTTATACAGAATGCATTCAGTTTTGTTGTAAGATTTTGTGAATAAGTTAAATTTTAATAAAATAATTAAAGCCTCTTTTATTTTGAAGCTTTAGTCAAAATTTTAATTCTTTTAAAAACAACTATGAATTCACAATACTGTTTTTTTAAACAGTCAAACCAAAAAAACTAGTAGAATGTTACCAGACCATGACAATTAAACATTTCTTTTGTTGCTTTTGAACAATAACAACCTTTTGTCCTTCCTTGGCTGTACATGTTAGAGGATAAAAAGTATTTACACTATCACTGATAATTTTAAATTAAACTGAAAATTTTTTGCGAATACTTCTCATATTGTTCATAGGTATATATACCATATACCTAAATGGTTTTTAATATCACAAATTGTATCATCAGAATAAATATGTTTTTCATTACACAAATGACACATGTTTAAATTAAGTTAGCGTTTATTAGCAAAAGCCTTTAAAAGACAATTTAAATAATCAAAGAGATATAAAATAAAGTTCTAAGATTATATTACCTATATAAGTTAAAGTTCCAAATTTTTTCTTTTATAAATAATACTTTGTATGAAATATGTATAAATAATGCAACAATGACTGGAAGAAAAATACTGTACAATGTAAATTTACAGTCTTAGAAGTAGAGAGTAGTCTAAAGTATTAAGTCTATGCATATCCCACTGCTGCGCAAAGGCCTTCGCTGAACAGTGAACAGTATTAGGGCACAATCCACCATGTGGCCCCACTAGACTTTAAACTTTTGTTTGCAAAAAAAAACTTTTTTTTTCTTATGAAAAAGCTTTTTAAGAGGCTTATAATTTTAGGTTTGCAATCGACTATAGAAAGTTTACTTATAATTATAACTGTGCCACTGCACACTAGTATCTTTTTTGTATTTTTATAGGCAGCAAAATTACAGCTCTGTTAGTTCAAAATCATTTGCCCTTTGTTATTTTTAAGTAATTTTTTATGAGTTTTATAGAATAAATATTTAAATTAGGTGATCACGCAAACCCTTTTATTTTGACATTACACCAAACACTTTGGCATTTATAGCAGGAGTACATTTTCTTAATGGAATGAATACTTAAAGTCCTTATTAAAACATTGACATTTCAATGCACCTCTGAGGACAGTGATAATAACATTGAATATGCCATTTCTCACATCCCACTTGTCAGTGAAGATTCCAAAACAAAACAGGTTTTCCTGTGACCTTTCTTTACAACTTCATATTACTTAAAGACACTGGTATATGGATATTTAAATGTAAAATATATGTTTAATGAACGAAACAAGTTAATGACCAAGTGAATTTTAGTGATGATGATAGATATTAAAAAAACTGTACAAATTAAGGATTAATAAAAAAAAAATGTTGTATATGAAAAATTGGCCTCTAAACAAAGTAAAAACATATTTTGCCTTATGGGAAGATTTTCATGATATAAAAAAGCTCACATAAATTATTGTTCATAAAGATTATGGTGATATTATAAATGTGAGTGCAATAGATGAATTAAGATTATTATTGATTTATTGATATTTTGAGTTATTGATATGATTATAATCAATATATGAATATATCAATTACAAATACTATTGGTATTCAAGAATATCAGCAGTATTTTGCTACAATGTAGCAATGTTTATTATCTAAACAATGTGTTGGAATTCCTGGACAAAATACAGGTAAGGCTTACTTTCATCTTTATGCTTTAGCATGCTTTCACAGAAACAACAATGTAACTGTAACTTGTTAACATGTAACCTTATTATATTACCAACACTTTCTCAGACCTCATTTTTATTTTATAGCTGTACTAGGGCAAATAAAATAACAATAACTCTGTCATTTTGGGACGAAGCCAAACTATTCATAAAATTATGCATAAATAACGTAACAAAAATTATATATTAAACTTAAATAAAACAATAACAAACTAAAATTATAACTAGAAAACTTCTACATTGCACAACAAGTTCCAAATTCAAAAAAGTTCTATATAATATGTATGCTCATAAAAAACCATTTCTTTTTTGGTTATGTAGAATGTTTTGGTACTCCAACAAGTGAGATTTTACAGCTCTCCTTTAATTTAATTGTCATGCAATGCACGTAGCATTTCTCCACCGATTGATTTGTATCGTGAAAATAAAATAAAGAAACTGAACCGTATTAAACAGCGCTCTAAGTGGGCGCGACCTTCGCAAGCGATCTCAAGAGGAAGCGGAGAAGCCAAAGAAGGTAATTGGATAATCCCTCATCGGCTTTTCATGCAGAATCTACAGGGGCATGCCTTCTGTCAAATAGGTCAGTGAACTGATGTACGTGAATTTTATCGCGGAGCTAAATTGATAGGTACTTACTTGATCTTCCCTGCGCAGTGCTGACATTCTGGACCCTGCCAGCCTTCGAAGCATACACAAGTCTCGTTCTTACACTCACCGTTTATACAGTTATGTTCACTACACCTAGATAGAACTTCATGACAAAACAATAACACTATGAGGACTGAACACAAGAAGGGCGAGAACCATGAGTATTTTCGTCTGTACTTGGATTTGAAGAGGAATAAGAACATTTGGAGAGATTCTACCATTTTGATGTATGCATTTTCAACGAGTTTTGTTAGCTTATCGTGGACGTTAAAAGCAGTCGTGCGTCGTGTAGTTTCCGTACGGTACTAAATACGGTGTTGTCATATTAAACTGGGAAACTCTCACCTAAAATGTATCAAACAGCTAGTAGAATTTTGATTTAGTGTCAGAATGTAAATAAATAGATCTTGTGCTATTCATAAACAGATTTTTTTTATTCATTTTAGTGATAACTTATTCAACTCACGTGTTTCACTTTGTGCTGATTCTGTAACTAGAAAGAAGCAAGTAATTATTTTAAATATACGCTAAAATGTATAATTATGAGTTCATTTCACTGTCCGTATAGTCAAATAATATTGTTTTGATGTACAACTTTATATGTTTGGTGATTTGAAGTAGTTTTCTCATTTAGTTCCTTTTTTACTTTACCGTAATATTGTTACATAAACTAAAAGGACAAAATAGATGAAAAGAAAATAATTGAATTGCTATACTTCAAATAATTAAAATTAAGAATAGACAATAACATTTTTAATCGGAAACTAAAGAAAAACTGATGTTTTAAATTTTCCCAGATGTATGGTGGATGTAACACATATGGTAACACGGGACTTGACATTATTCTGTTACCAAATTTAAGACCCATAAAGCTGCGTTCAAATATTAATACCGCTTTTATGACCTTTAGTGTAGATATATCGCACCTTTAGAATTAAATGGACATAATAATGAAAATTGTGATTTTGGCTTTATGTCAGGAACGACCTAAAACGACCACCTTTTTCGAATCTTATTAAAACATGGGCCGATTTTAGAAAGCTACATAACGTATACTTCTGTCTCTTTCACTTCCGCGTTTGTTCATAAGTTACACAAATCCTTATTTTACGTTTCCCAAAAATTTATATTTTTAAATAGATCACTATAATTCTAAAGGTGCGACATTATTTAACTTTTATTTAAAGTTTAAACGAGCATTTTAAATTTTGTTTCAAGATTTTTAAGGTTCAAAAAATAAGAAAGATGATTAATTAATCACTACTTGCTAATCATTTTTAATAATTAATTATATTCAACTTAAATATGTTAATAATTATAACAGTGATAATTATTACACGATTTTTTTATTTTTACATAATAATAATTATTGTACCTTCCAATTATTGTCCAGCTGAAATTATAAATCTTAACTAATTTAATCTAAACAATTTATTTTAAGGTCTTGAACTGGTTTTAATCCTGAAGAAAATATTAAAATTGTTATTTAGAAACTGCAGTAAATATATTTTCTCTGATGTAATTTATACTTCATAGATGGCGGTTGTTGTTAAAATATATAGTAGTACCGTTGAGTAATAACAGATGGCACTTTTGTGTAACACAATTGAATTCACTTCAAATTCACTATTAAATTGAACATCGTAGAGTAGTGTGTAGTATTAAGAGTCAAGACCATGCGTTGTTGTCAAGATCACGCGTTAGCATCTATAACATATCTGTGGTCAAGACACAAGACATCAAATTAGTAAAATGCGTCTGTTTTAATAAATGATAGGCTGATAATCTTCAGCAAGCATTGCAGTATGCACCCAGTTTTATTTCTGCGATATGGTCGTGGGACTTCTTTTCTTGTTCTCTGGTTAACATTTTGAAAATATTTGTTGGTTACTCACACACTCACCATTAGGTTTCATATTTTTTCGGATTAAGTATAATATCTAAAAGTGAAACGTGTCTGTCATTTCAATGTCCAAAGCCCGCAGTACACACGGTTAGGTTCAGAAAGGTTTCGTTAAATTAGTATTTACTGTGAGAGTGACATTGGGTATATCAAAAAAAAAAAAACACAGAAACGCAGTCGGGTTTTTTAGTTTTTTTTAATTATATTCTACTTGTTTACAATCCTCTCTTAATATACAAAACATAAGGAGTTAAAACTAAAAGTTTACAGAACAAAAGGAAAGGATGAAACATTCCGTTTCATCCATCTTCGCGGCTAAGTTGAACGAAGTGTAAAAAAAATACTCGCAAAAACCACTTCCGTGCTTTTCACAAAAGGCAAATGACGTCATCAAGTAATGTTCCCTGTTTGTTTATTCTTTTTTCTTCTCTCCTCGAACAATGTTCTCTTCATTAACGCGATACCGCTAACGGTTTTACATTGTTTAGGATTAGATAGTTGTTTTTCCTTTTCGCATAAGCGATTAGGAATGAGACAGCGTCTTAGAACTCTTTGTAAGCTTCACAATGGGCGAGGGGCAGAATAAAAATGATGTAAATTTTTTTACTTAATCATAAATGTATATTCGGGTAGACACCTGAAAGTTCAAAAGAAAATGTCTATAGAAAACATATATATATCGATATCAAATAATTTTACTCAGTAAAACAAAATTATTCAATGTATATAAAGTGATTGTTAACGAAATAAATGTCTCAAATGAAGAAAAAACGTGAAATGCTAAGTGTGTAATTTTTTAATTATTTTATTTAAATGTATAACTTTTACTTGTTACCGCCTACCGTAAAGCGGTCTTTTTATATGACCGCGAAAGAAATGTACAATTTCAAGCACTGACAATTACAAAAATTTCCACATTTTTACAAATGTCCGTGCCTAAGAGTCACGTGGAACGAAGTCGAGATGTTTTTTATTTATTAAAAAAATTATGTTCAATCATACTACCGGAATTTTTTTAATTAAAAAAATTGCATAATTGCATCGACGGAAACGAGAGCAATTTTATATTAATTAAGTAAATATATGTAACAACACGATATATTTAAACTTTTTTGTTAGGTCAAAATATTATGCTTCCATATTTTAAGAGATTTTCTAAAACACCATGAAATCCAATAAATAAAATTCTCGTGTCACGTTGTTCGAACTTGAACTCCTCCGAAACGGCTCGACCGATTTTTACCAAATTTTATATGCGTATTCAGTAGGTCTGAGAATCGGCCAACATCTATTTTTCATCCCCCTAAATGTTAAGCTTTTTGTTTCTATTTTTTTATGACACAGCATACAAAAATACATACAACCCTAAATTTTCACCCCTCTACGCAGACGTAGTCGCGGGCAGCAGCTAGTAACAATATAAAATAAAGCTAATTGAAACAAATATGTTTTTGACAGAGCGACTGATAGATGGCGCTCCTTACCATACTATATATCATTACACTACTCTGGGATTAGATAATTATCATTTATATAAAACTTTCATTATATTCACTTTGATTGATATCAAAGCCAGAAGTTTTATTGCAGCAATCTTTAAAAAGGCTTTGCTAAGAAAACATTAAAAAATCCCTTGATTTTATTTCATTGTGTCTTCCAATGAATTGATCAGATTTATCGCTATACGCGACATTTGTGTTACAAAAAAGATTTAAATTTTACGTTTCTTTAATCTATTTAAATATGTTTAAGTTTAATTTTATCTTTTTTAAAGTATGTAGATTTGTTTCTCATTAAGTGACAGGTGATTATAGAGTTTATTTATAGAAATTATAAATAATGCATCACTCTGAATTATTACATCTGCATTAATTCAAGTAGGTAGTAAAATTATATTTTTTACGTAGTGACGTCAATTCGAAGGGCGTTTATTCTTTAATTTATTTGTTTGTCACCAAATTAAAGAGGCGGCGATATTGGCTATTTTTGGATATTGTGGATTATTAACAGTTTTAATCTATACATTTAATTAATGTATACATTATAATATATATAATCTATACATTAATTCTAAATAACTATACACTAAAATAATCTGAATATGTTAGTTAAAGGTTGCGTGGAAGAAATTACTCTTAGTAATAAGGCCGCCCATTGTACCCATTACTTCTACATTAAGTTTTAATTTTTATTTGTTTTATTTTTGATGTGCAATAAAGTATATTCATTCATTCATTCATTCATGTTAGGGTCACGTAGCAGATTCAACTCTTACACAAATGGACAGGCTCGACCGGGGAAGAACGGCCTCACAGAAACCTAGTGGAAGAATTACACTTTTTCGTTTCGTCTGGTGAGTGAGGTAACATAAAGCTGCTGAAAACATGCGCGACGGCCATCCCTTAAATCAGGTGAAGCGTCTGCTCATTTGCCAAATTTTAACATTAAAGAAAATACTATACTATAGTTGTTTTACTATATATAGTTATTGGAATCTCGTTGTTCGGTTCTCCAGGTTCAAACTAAAACCAATGTTTTTCTTTCGCCGTCGGTTTAAGGGACTAAAAAATTAAGGTCTATGTAATTAATTTATTAAGTTTATAGTTTATTAACTAGATTTGTGATCTTCCTACCGCTGGGAGCTTGAGAACTTGCCTCGTGTCCATGTCAGATTTGTTTATAAATTCCATTCCGTTCCAGTGCTCGCACCGTTAGTTTCTTTTGTAGTTAGACATGGGGTAATGTCAGACTGTGGTAGGCCTCAAAAAAGGTCACATGGGCGTCTCGTGACTGACTGTAGGTCGGGCCCTAATGTGATCCCGCCAATCGCGTTAGGTCCATATGCTCGTGCGCTGCCTTCTCATCCCCATTCGCAAGGGCCGGCTTCATTTTGATTTATAACGTCTTTTTTTTTCTCGTTTCGCTTTTTTCGCTGTTCTAATTGCTTAGCGTGGCGATTAGTCGGGGCATTCACCTTAACTGAAGGCGTGGTCTCGGCTTGTGCGTTGGTAATAATATTTCGGTCGTCTTTTTTTTTGGTATGTGTAAATACATGATACATTAAATCAACAGGATCGCTTATAGCAATCTATGACATAGGAGTAGTAGGGCTTTAAGTCCTAATTAAAAACAAAAAGATTATTATAGAAAACTCCCTTGTATGTTTTTAAATCGATACAATGTAATTCCAATTTCAATTCGGTCCAAACCCCAAACGTAAATTTCTTCAAAGGGAAAAAAAGAAATTCCATTAAAAAACTCATTGCAGAGAGTCTTCGCATTTCTTCGAACTGGCTGAAAATCAATACATAGGTACGAAGAACAAAACGCCCAATTGCGTCTCGTTCGAATTTCGAAAAACGTCGCGCGGAACGAACTCACGCAGCTGCGTTGACCAAGGTCAGTGCTATTGTGCCCGCGGAGGGCAATGCCCAAACCGCGTTGTGGCGAAAAATACACGCACACACACAGGCGCGCGAACTCCACCGCGGCGTCAGTGTGGTCGTGCCCGATGCCAACGAAAAAGTATCCGAAATGCGCGCCAAAGATGTCCAATCGGAGACGCGACGGTTTTCGCCTTTTGAAATACAAAGGTTACTTCCGGAATAATGAGGTAGGATGTGATTCCATTTGAATATAATGATACGGCAATCCTTACTAATTTTGTAATCGCGAAAGTTTGTATGTATGGATGTTTGTTACTCTATCACGCAAATACTACTGAATAGATTTTAATGAAACTTTACAGTAATATAGCTTAATACATATTACATCAGAATAACAGATTACTATAATAGAAGACTATAACAGAAGGCTATAATTTATATACATATTTTTATGTATATCTGTCTTTCTGTCTGAATGTTCAGCCTATTCTTCGTATACGTAGTCGCGGGCAGCTGCTAGTAAGCTATAACGTAGACAGCATTTCGTCACAGTGATTTGTTGTCATGTCATAAATTATGAATTTGATAGTTTGAAAAATATAGTCCTATAACGATCAAAATACGGATGACTCGGTGGCGCCGTTGGTAAGCTTTTGTGTCGGGAGTCGTGGGTTTGATTACCACATGGGACGAGTATTTGTGTGATCTTCAGATAATTTTTCTGGATCTGACGCCCGGTTTCTGAAACACTGATCATCGTAGATGTCACCTAATCAGATGTCAAATAGTTTTCAAGTGTCACTTGAGTTGTCAAAAGTATGGTTAAACTCTTTGAATTGATCATTCTGATCATTAAGTAGATCATTCTGGTCAATTCTTTTGGCAATTAAAATGAAATTTGAAAAGCATTTGACAGCTGATTAGTTGACATCTGCGATGATCAGTGTTTCAGAAACCGGGCGTGAGTGTTTGTTTCCCAAGGAGGCTTGACGTTAGACAGGTCGTAAAAGTGCCGATAAGGAGGATGATGATCGATGAATGATCAAGAGACGAGAAATCTGAAGAGCCTAAATCTAAAGTCGTTCATCTCTATGTATATAAAAAATATTTGAAGTATCTTTGTTGCCGCAAAACCTCGAAAAATATTTGCTCATCACTACGAAGTCGTCCCGCTGTCTGTCTGTCCTTATGCACGCTTAGATCTTTAAAACTACGCAAACGGATCTTGATGTGTTTTTTTTACTAGATAGAGTGATTCAATAGGAAGTATATGCGTAATACATTAAACCCTTGCGAAGCCGGGGCGGGTCGCTAGTATATTACAAAAGTTTTTAGCTTGTGAACTGCGAAATATTACCAAAACATTTTCTATGGCCTAGCCAACAGTTTTGAATTGAGCGATTGCAAAAGCGCGTCGCCTATTCGTTTCGCGAAAGCGACACTTGCTCTTTGGCCGTTGCAATTACAAACAAGAACACGGCAAGCGGGCAAAAGTGGCCGAATTGCACGGCGACGCACACAGGCGGGCTCTCGCGGGGGAGCGGCGCGGCGGTTAAGTCAAGAGCAACAGAGTAAGGTCACGGTTATTCTTTTGGCCGGCGGTTCGGGCGTTTTCGGCGATCTCCGCCGCCTGCGCACGACCCGCTTCGGCGCGTTTTTCATTTCTGCTTTCTGCGCGTCGCTCGTCGATTGCGTCGGATTGTTTTTTTTTAGTTCGCCGCGGCTGTCCGGACATTTTTAAAAGCCAGTAGCATTTCAGTATATATGTCTTATCTATGGCCAGTAGTTACGTATTTTAAGTCGAGTTCGATTACACTTTGAATTAAAGATTTTTAAAAGCCAGTATAGTTCGGTTTACGTTGGATTTCATTATGAATTTTCGTTTTCTTGAAATGCTAATGTACGGTTCATTTCTTTGTTAGGGATAAGGAACGGTACGGTATAAGAATCGAGTAATCAACTCGTTTTGTTTCGATTACTTTGTCACTAAGTGGATTTAGTTAAAGATTTACGTTGTAATCTACTTTTTTTACTTTACCGACTGGGTTATTCGATTTATTTGTCTGAGGGTAGATTTGTCTCGAATCTAGATAATAACTGGTGGCAAAATTTGGAAACGGAGAACTTTAAAATCCAACAAATCAACTTGTATGCCCGCAATAACCGCTTTGTACCGGTTTCGGTATGGAACGCTTTTGCTTATGTTTATTGTCATGTTCTTGCGCAATTGGATGTATTTAACATATCATAATTGTTGTTGGCTTGTATAATTTACGTGTTTATTGCATTTCTATGCACGTAAATAATGTTCTGTTATGTAAACTGCACATGTATGTGATATAATTCATGTTTTTTGTATTGTATTTTTTTTATGCCTACTAAAAGTAGCAAGTCAGTTTTTTTCATAAATCTTTTACCAATAATCCAATGCAATGTATATTACATTGTGTATTTATTGCACGGAGGAATGGATAACCACTTTGATTTTACTCTGCTGACATTATTATTAAGGAGTATTACCGTAAAAAGTTACAATTTTTTTATTGTTATATTATAAATAACTTGAATCACATCAATTATGAACATCTTAAAATTGTCTTATTAGGTCTTGAGCTGTGTTTTCCACATACGATCGCATCACCTTTAAATGAGTTACCACGAGGGACTGTACCATCCTTTTGATAAAAATTGTGTACCTACCTAAGTATAACATTATGTCGCAACCTTTTTACCCACCTCTAAAATGCCTTTGATAATTCCAATAAATAATTCATAGCTGCTAAAATGTTTCGTTTGCAACTTCAAAATTAATCTTGTGTGCACGAATTCTATACAAAATTGCTTTCTTAGTATTTCTTACATTCACAGTTCGTCACATTGTTTCAGACAATTTTATTGATCTAGGTCATCTGGGTCATCATTAAATCCAGACCTAAGCGGTAAACGTATAATGCCAAACGTATAATAAATTTTAGCAGTAATCTTTTTATGCGTGTAATAAGAGAAATTTGTTTGTTTCTTTGCTTGTAACTCACCGAATCGTTTTCTTTTTTTGTGCTGATAAACATAGATATGTTTATCAGCACAAAAAAATCAAACAAAACTTACTTTAGTCATCTGACTAAAGTCAAGCCCAATTTTCAAAAGGTTGTCAACGCATCTGTAACCCTCGAGTGTGGCAGATGTCCATGGGCGGCGGTATTCACTTAACATCAGGTGAACCGTCTGCTAGTTTGACAACTTTTCGCATAAAAAAAAAAAAAAAGTAAGTTTTGTTTGATTAATAAGTCGCAAGGTTAGAAATTACAATAAAAGTAAAGACATATAATATGGTTCTCGCGTGACTGTTGTAGAATGGACTTAAAATATGATAATATAATAATAATTAAAATGTGGTATTTGTCGCCAACTGTGCAAAACCAGGCTGTAAGTCAGTTATAGCCTGTGCTAGTGTAAATACGTTACAAATGAATACTCTTCTTATGTCTTTCTTAGGGTCTATTAAACTCATGGAAATCCACCTAATATATTGTAAATAATGAATTAAATGGACATGGAAATACACGCATTCCATATAGGGTCTGTTATGCGTCACATCATCTATAACAGAAGTCAGAAGTTATATATTATCGTATTCAATTATTTGTTTATTAAAAAGGATAATGTATACAATTCAAGGCATTTTCTTTTTTAACATTATCTTTGTTAATGAACCACTTTTGAAAAGACCAAGGAGACATTTCAAAAACCTTATGATTTTTAGTGTTTTTCTTCTTGATAATGTTCAACCTCCATGCGATTTACATAATAACTTCTCAAATTTGCGCAAATACCACACGATTAAGAGCCTTGATAGCTCAGTGTCCGGGCGCTCGGTTTTAATTCAATTTACTCGAGCGACCCGAGTTCAAATCCCGGTGCTGGCACCAATGAAATTGTAAATCTTAAGTGCTGAATTATCACGTGATCAGCGGTGAAGGAAAACATCGTGAGGAAACCTGCATATTGATGATAGGCTCCATAAACAACACGATTTAATTAAACTATTTATCGAAAATTATCAATTGTTGTTAGCGTTATATGAGCCGGGAAAATTATACAGGTTATGAATTGCAAACTTTGAAATTGATTCTTCCGACAATATAATAACAATGTAGAGTAATTTTGCTTATTATTACCTAAATAAAAAAGTGTTCACTCAGTCGTAAGTAAAAAAAGTAAAAAAAAACAGCGGAATTGAGAGCCTCCTACTTTTTTGAAGGCGGTTGAAAATACATTCCTCTACTATGTTTTCGATTGGTTATAGAAGTAGAAACAATATATATAATTTTTGATTTTAAATTATTACAAAATTCTTTTACAATAAAAGGACGCAACAATTGATGTGAGAAACACGTAAGGAATTTAATATTAATTAATACATTTAGCCCGAAAAAGTAAAGAACCGATTAAGAAAAAAAACCTCAATTTTCTGTTCGCAATTAAATATGATTGCTCACTGCGGAAATATTCGCCGACTCGCGACCGGCTGTATACCTCTTTTGGCGCTATTCGCGCCAAAAGAGGTATACAGCAGAGTATAAGGTTTTATCTGTTTTCTCAAACCTTGACCTTGGCGCCAAGTGGCGAGTCGTTAAAAAACCTCTTTTCAGGTCGAAATTCGAAAAGAGAACGTAATTTCGCTCCCGTCCGGGGCCAAGTGCAATTTGCGGTTTCATGCGAACAAAAACGGCCGCGTTCGGAATACGAAATTTTTCGGCGTTATTGTTGAGTTTTTAAAAGGGCCTGTTCGAGAACGGCACATGACATTTGGTGGATGGAGACTGTCGCATTACTTTTCAAGTTTTTTTTAGGGTTCCGTACCTCAAAATGTACCCTTATAAGGTTACTCTCTTGTTCGTCTATCCGTCTGTGCGTGTGTCACCACCGAATTTCTTAGGAGCGGGTGGACCTAGGGTGAAATTTATACCAGATACTGAGGTCTATAGTCCCTATTAGGTGTATAAAAATCTATTAGGTTTATAAATATCAGGGCCCAGGCAACACGATAAAAACATATGGGTAAATTTAGATTATAGCTAAAACTTATAAGTATCAAAATTTACCTTAATTTTCAACGTTTTTCGGAATTCTCCCTTTACTTGTGTTGTAAGATCTTGCTTTTAATAAAAATTTATAATTATAGGTCAACCGGTACCCTATAGGTTTCGAGTCGAAAACCTATATGGTAGTTTCGTTGACCTAGAATCACGAAATTTGGCAAAAAGCGGGGCAAAATTCTAAAAAATAAAAGACGGTTGAAAATTAAACGACGTCCCCAAACATATATAATCGACGCCAAATAATATTGTCCTCGGAGATGATAGTTGTAACGTGTGGTACGGAACTCTTCGTGCGCTTGTTCGACTCGCATTTGGCTGGTTTTTTTTTAAAGAAAATTAGGTTTTGAGTAAATTGCGGCCAATTACACCACCTTTACCGTCCCAACTCTATTTCATGTAGGGTTGGTATTTGTTCTGAGCGCTGGTACATATTAATGACGTTTGTTGATGAATAATGTATAGACTGGTAACGGATATTTATGTATTATAAGAAATAATACTATTACTCATGTTTTCATTTAATGCCTGCTTTATTACAGTGCTTATACTTCATTATGAATTATTGTAGTAAGTTTTTTTTGTTAAGTGGTCAGTGATAGAATGATTTTAAAAAATAATTTATTTAATATTGTTCACACATAAACTAATTTATAACTTTTAGTACTATAAAATAACACTTGAAATAGAATTAACAATAACACGAAATAGAAATTGATATAGAAATAGTAAATGACACAGAGATATAATATTAATTACTTGAGGTTGAATTGGTAACTCCACGAGATTGAAATGGTAACTGACTTATGATCTAATACAAAGTGGTTTATATACGAAAAGTAACATGAGATTTGTAAACAATATTCTAAACTAAGTGACTTATTGACTAATTGCTTAATTACTAGATAAATAGCAAAGTACACGGGAAATGGTAACAAAGGAAATAGTATTGAAGTGGTAAACAGATCATTAGTCAATTAGGATAACAAAAGATTTGGTAGTGACTTGGTACATTGATATAGTAAATATGCATTTGGAAAATAACAGTAATTTGTGAATGTGAGAATGGTAAATACATTAGAATCAGATAAACAATAAACATTGGTTTATATAGTAACTTAATATAGAGTTATGATTATGTATAGGAAACTATATAAAAGGATTTTATATAAAGTTAGATATAAGTGGGCATTATATAACACCTCCCCTCTTAGAATAAAGATTGGGCGTTAGCGTCCGATCTTTGGGTAACGTTTGAGGTGTCGTCTTCGTCTTCGGAGATGCACGATGTTGAAGCTGGAGCGGGACCACCCATTGCGGTCATCGGGATGGCGTGGACATGTGTAGCTCGTCGTCGCGATGATGAACCAAGGCAGTTGTTGAAGATTTGAATGCAATGATTTTCTTCGTGACCGTGTCGTTGATGACGTCGGAGACATTTTTTGAATAGTGCGTATAGAATTAGTAGAACCATAGAGGTTCCGGTTATAAGAGAGAACCAGGAAAATCCATTTTGGTTTCGTTCTATGAATGGTTTCTTCTTGAGTTTTTGAATTTCTTCGTTGTGGTTGTTCAATTGGTTTTTGATGCTGTTTAAAGAGTCCAGAGGGACCTCATTGATAGAAATGGGTAATAAGTTTGGTATTGGAATATTTTTATTTTCTTCAAAGCAGTCTTGAATATTCATTTCGGGAATAATGATTGGAGAAGTGACGTTTTCTTTTTTGGTTCTATGTGCTGATAAGGTACTGTATCCAGTATGGAGTTTGCAGTTTTCTTTTAATGTAATTATCCCGGATCCTTGGATTTTGTGATGGGATACTTCGTTGTCACATTGTAGAATGCATGGCGTTGAGTTGGTAAGAATGTAAAGCCATCTGTTTTCGTCTAGCGACTGGAACGTATTAATTTGTGCGGCAAATGTGGAAGTTGTACAAGTACTCGGAATTGTTTTGGAGATGGTAAATAGTATCTGGAGTTCGCATATCGGACGTGTATCGGCGTCGTAAATGATGAGGTCGTTGCAAACGCTCTTTTTTCTCGGCGAAGGCTTTGCAATGGTCCAATGAACTCGTCGAAATGTATAACTCACCGCTGGGGTTCGTAGCTAGAAACTTGTGCTCTGGCAGGATTGTTGTATATAGAGAGGAATTAGGATGCTGGATAGGAATTGAATAAATATGATAGAGTTTTAAGGGTTCGGATTTTACAAGTGGGAAATCTAATATATAAATTAATCTGTCAGAATATACATAAGCGGATAGTTGGGACGAATCTAATATGTTATTAATGTTATTAATGGTAATAGGGAGGACTAATTGTTTATTTGATCTAGCATGATTAGATAAAAGAAGTTCTTGGTATAACTTATTAAGAGAAATAATAGAAGGGTGTATTATATTAGCTTTGGCAAATAGAATGCTAGTAAGGACATCATTGATTTCATATTCTAGGTTTGTAATAGTCTCAAGAATTTGTATAGAGATAGAAGAAATGTCTTCGCTTGCTTTGACATCGAATATAAGTTTGTTTGATTTATTTAAATAATTATTTAGTCTATCGATATTTTCGTTAATAATTTGCTCATCGAATCTAATTTTATGGATCGTTTCATTGAAAGTTTTTATTGTTGATGAAGTTATTTGTACTTGTTTTTGCATTAAAGATGTAAGATCTAATTCGCGTTTTTCAAATAAATCGATACATTCGTCATAGTGTTTCGTGCATATGGTATGGTCGGAGTCGATTTGCATGCACGAGTTGATTGCGATTTGATTTTTGAATAACGTAATTATGATTAAAACCGACACGTATGACTTCAAAAGGTCCATCCCATTTTGGGTCTAAATTATTTGGATTTGGAACTTGCAGCATTACTTTGCTTCCTACTTTATATTGAATTAAATTCTTTATTTGACTGTCGTATCTCTCCTTAGCTTTTTCTTTCATGGTTTGAATATTTCTTAAAGCAGAGTCTCTAGCAACTCTAAGACGTTCGTTTAGATCTTTAAGATAATCACAAGCTGTATAATCAGGTATGTTTTTCATAGAGTAAAATGGACGTGGTTTGTAACCGAACAATAATTCATGAGGTGTATAATAAGTGGAACTGTTTACTGATGTATTGTGACACATAATTGCAAAAGGAATTATCTTATCCCAATTTTTGAGACGGCGGCTATGATACATGCGAATATGGTCACGTAAAGTAGCATGAAATCTTTCAAGGGCACCATTCGTTTGGGGATGATATGCCGTGTTAAAAGTATGGTTGGAGCCTAGGAATTTGGTTAATTGTTTGAGAACATTATTAGTGAATTCGGTACCTTGATCTGAATGAAATCTCTTAGGTACACCGAAATGTTGGCAAAAGTGAAGTAGTTCTTTAGCTACAGAGGTGGCTTCTTTATCAGGAATTGGATATGCTTGAACAAATCGAGTTAAGTCATCTTGAAGAGTTAGGACATACTTATTATTGTTATCACTTATATCAGAATAGGAGACGAGATCCATTGAAACTCGTTCGAAAGGCTCTGTGGATTGTGATGTTATAACCATAGGTGCTTGGAAGTTTTTCCTTTGAATTTTGTTTCGCTGGCAAGTGACGCATGATTCAATATAATTTTTTATATCGCTGGTCATGCCTTTCCAAAAATATTCATCACGGATTTTTCTAGTTGTTTCTATAATACCACGATGACCTGAGAGGGGTTCATCATGATAAGTTTTTTAATATGTTAGGGATTTCTTCGGGCTTAGGATACTTTACGTTATTTTGACAAATTGTGATTTCGCAGTTATACGAATCTGCCAGGTATGCAGTTATTCGTAGTTGTTCATTACCTAGTAATTTACAAGTAGGGTCATTTTTAAAATCGGGAACATAGAGATTTTGAATATTATTTTGTTGAAGACATGATAATAGAGCCTTGAAGTAACTTTCGGAATCCCATGGGTCAAAATGGTTCGGTCTTGTGGGGCAAAGGAATAGATTTTGATTTTCATTTGAGATTAGAAGGTCAACGTCGTATAGGGATTTCGTTTTCTCTAGGTAAGGTTCTACTTGAGAGCAAGAATGTATGGCTTCATTGAAGATGTGGTTTTGATCAGAGTTGTGGCATGAAATGGGAATAAATATATTTTTGTGTTTTTTATCTAAGATATTGTCGGGAGATATTTTTAATTTTGGGCTATCAAAGGATCGTTCTTGGGAAATAAAATGTTCGTAGTTCATTTGTAAATAGTCATTAGGGCTAGCTTGGTTTGAGTTATCTGAAGTCAAGTCAATAACATTAGAATTATAGATAGGGGGACGTGATAGTGCGTCTGCGTTTGTGTTTATCTTTCCGGCTTTGTAGACAATTTCGTAGTTGTATTCTTCTAATTTTAACCTCCATCGTACGAGTCGACTGCCTGGGTCTTTAATTGAGAACAGCCATGTAAGAGGTTTATGATCGGTAACGATTTTAAACTTTCGCCCGAATAGATAGGGACGGAAGTGTTTCACGGCCCACACGATCGCTAGAAGTTCGCGTTCGATTGTGGAATAGTTGGATTCTGCTTTATTTAAAGTGCGAGATGCGTATGCTATTGGCAAGTCTTTACCAACTTCTCCCTGAGATAGAATAGCACCGATAGCGTGAATTGAAGCATCTGTTGTTAGGACAAATTCCTTACTGAAGTCGGGATATTGCAAGATAGGGGTTGTAGTAAGAATAGATTTACAAGTATCGAAAGCATGTTGTTGAGATTCACCCCATATGAATGGGACGTCTTTCTTTAGAAGGCTTGTCATAGGCTTTGTGATTTGGCTGAAGTTAGCTATAAAGCGACGGTAGTAACCCGCGAGACCTAGAAATGATTTAATGTCTTTACATGATTTAGGAACTGGAAAGTCTTTTACTGCTTGAACTTTGTCTGGATTTGGTTTGACACCTTCGTTAGATATTATGTGTCCTAAGTAGGCAACTTCCTTCCTAAGGAACTCACATTTATCTGGTTGGACTTTTAAGCCGTGTTTCCTGAGTCGATCGAAAACTTCGATTAGTTTTTGTTCGTGTTCTTGGAGACTGGAAGCGAATACTACAATGTCATCTAGGTAAACGAAACATCTTTCACCTTGAAGTCCATAGAGTACGCTATCCATAGCACGTTGGAAAGTCGCAGGTGCATTTTTTAATCCGAATGGCATTCGCAAAAATTCATAATGTCCGTAAGGTGTATTGAATGCTGTTTTAGGGATATCTTTTGAATCAAGTTCGATTTGATGAAATCCGGAGGCAAGATCTAGTGTAGTGAAATAGACTGAGTGTCCTAATTTATCGAGTATATCTGTGATGTTAGGCAAAGGATAGCTATCACCTACCGTTATGTCGTTTAATTTGCGGTAGTCTATTACGACTCTCCACTTCTGTTTTCCAGAAGCGTCTGTTTTCTTGGGAACTACCCAGATGGGGCTGCTCCATGGTGATGTACTTGGACGTATAATATTTTCATTTAACATTTTATCTACTTGGGACTTTACTTCTTGCTGATGTACATAAGGAAATCGATATGTTTTTGTGTTAATAGGTGTTTCTGATGTGGTAGGGATAGTGTGTTTTGTGTGATTTGTGAATGTTAGTTTGTCACCTTCGGTGTAGAAGATATCTGCGTAATTGTATACTATTTTATTAAGGGATTCGCATTCTTCATGATTTAAATGATCGCGTCTTATCAATTTATCTATCTTTTCGTAATACGACGTGTTTCGATGGATTGAATTATTAGAATTTATGGAGTTGATTTGAAAACTATCTTTTGATTCGTTATAAGGCCTTACATTAGAAATATTCGGGGTATAAATATATTTATCTTCATCACTGGAATTAACACATGTTATCAAAAATTTATTGTTGTTAATGTTAATGAGCGCGTTGGGAATAGTAAGATCTTCGCCTATTGATTGTTTGTCAATAATGGCGGGTCCATTAAGAGTCACGTCGCTGTAACAGATAATGACGGTTTCGGATCGTTTTGGAATAAGTTGTTTGTCGTCGGTTCGATTATCGGGTTCTTCACCCAAAAAGAAGAGTTTGTAAGAAGTATCGCGGACTCGCATAGTTTTTGATTGGACATAAATGTTAACGTTAAATTTTGACATGAAATCGTTACCTAAAATACCGTCTGCAGCAATATTTAAATCGGCAATATGGAATTTGTGTTTAGGAAATCGGTCGAGAGATATTTCAGATGTGCCGTAAGTTTGAATAGTAGATTCGGCATTGGAGACACCTATTATAGATACCTTCTTTCCAGAGTCGATTGAATGGTTACCAATTTTGTCTTTTCGAATAACAGAGATCGCGGCACCAGTATCAACTAACAATACGAGTGGTTGACCATCGAC